AATTCAAAATTGTATTTTAACGCGGCGCCGTGTTAGGAAGGGGAAAAGGAAAAAAAAATACATCGAAAATCAAGTGATAACGAGTTTAGTTGAACATACGGATTAAAATATCTCAGATAACAAACTTCGGACCTGTATACTGTAAACAAAGGAAATGTTCAGCATTTCATCTTCTTTGTAATGAGCTATTATTCAAATTTCTATTTTATATTATCAATCTCTTCTTGTTGATGTTTCACTTCTATCATGTGGTCTAAAGCACACAGCGTAGTTTTTTTTTATTCTATTTCTTCGAAGAATTGTTGTTTATATATATATATATATATATATATATATATATATATATATATATATATATATATATATATATATATATATATATATTACTTCTGCTTTACCTTCTGCTTAAAATTAAAAATTATCTATCGCTCTCCTGCCTTTTCGTTTTTCAGCTTTAGACGTAGAACCCTCTTGATAAGTTTGACTCACATGATAACTGAATGATAACAACTTATTTTATCAAGGGGAAACAGGAGAAAACTTCCTTGTGGAAAATACAGCAACTTTTAGTGTCATAATTATTTTTCGCATAGTTGACAGGTGTTTTTATTCTTATTCCATAGGGACTATGATGCGTTATTTTTCTTCAAATGAAAAAAGTTTTCGAATTTTATAGTTTCGTTTAAGCCGCTAATTGTCAGTTACTTCATTTCCCAGTTTGCCGCCGTAGGAAGTTTTAATGAAACTCTAAAAGCCAACAAATAACAAACAATTATTTTCAGAACATCAGTATCAATCATGTTACTGCCTCATGCATAGGATCTATCCATGCTTTTAATATCTATCCATTTAATAATAAATATATTGACAGCCAAAACAATTCTTGACATTTTTCCGTTTCGATAATTTTGAGATTAATAATGGTGATCTTATTCTGATCACAAATATTTCTCACCAACTTTATTTACATTATATATGTCTTGCGATATAAATATCTATAAATCAAATTCAGTTACGATACGCATATATTGTAAATTTTACAAGAAATATTTCTTTGTTGATGGTCAATCAATATCTAATTATATGAAGGCAAGGAGATTAAGATGGACAGAGCATGTAGCTCAGGGCAATCCATCAGGAAGCATCTACAGAACAATGAGCGCCTCATTAGCTGAGATGGCAAATACTACTCTCAGTACTGAGTACTTCACTCAAATAATGACTAGTTTATGCCAAACAATTGTATGCTCATTAATAGGCAATAGAACACGTAAAAGGGCCAAAAACTAAATGGATAGATAGAATTAACAAAGATACTGTAGACCTGCATGAAGATAACAGCAAAGAAATAGCCCAAGATAGGTAGAGATTGAGAAGACTGGTTATGGCTGGCGAAAAATCTACAAGATATCTAATGCCAATAGAAAAAAAAATCTTTGTTAGTTTAAAATTTACCATCTTCTTCTTATTTATTCTTCCCATTTTGGGAAGTAATACGTGATGTCCAGTTTTCCTTGACCATCATAAAAGATGTCAGGGGACTATGTGCATCTTTTGGCCAACATCTCCGACTTCTGCGTCATTTGTAGGGTCTGTTCCCTCCCAGTTGATTTTCTGGTCAGAAACGAGTCGACTCCTTCCTTCTTCGGCTCCATGCCAGTACTGGTAGCACTGCTGCCTGCTATTAGGGACATTTATCGACCTCCCGGTCTAGATCCGCCGTGTTCAGTCGAAAGCAGAGGACCCTCGGGCAGGATGAGGTTCTTCACCGGGCACGGACGGTCTTGGCAGTAGAATTTAAAAATTTAATAGAAAAATATTAAAAATTAATCCGTATAAACAGTATTGTTTCTCTTGTAATCATCATTAAAAATAAAAAGTTAGCCTTCCTGCTCTCCCGAAAATAAAAGAAACAAAATCCTGTATCCGTTAGAGATTAGATGGGCAGTGCACAGGTTCTTTAATTATATGGTAAAATTTTAAAAAAATTAAATTTAGTTGATCATTCAAACACGAGATTACTACAACATTTGTTGCATGAATTGTTTCTCTTAAAAGGCTAATGGCACAACTGAAGTGCCATTTATCGAATTTTTTTGGCTCTCGGGACTTAGTAGAAGTCTCGATGCGATTCGCATGATTTAATGGAAGTCTCAATGTGGCCCGCGGGATAAAAGTCTGGATACCCCTGGTATAGGCAGTCACTTTAAGAGATTCTGTTATTAAAAAAAATGTCTTTTTCAGCTTCTAGCTTTTAATAATTTCTATTCAAGCTATATGTACAAAGCACTTCTATTCCTAACCAAACATAAAATTGAGTCGTCTGTATCTGCTAGTTCGTTCATCTTCATTATTCCATCTGATCTCATCATACCAACATCACTCAATCGGAGTTAATATTATGCTATTTTCCTGAGCCAGTATTCGAAGTCATCTGTCTTTATCAATGTGAAAATTCCATCGAGATTTACCCGTGGTTTCGCTATTTGTAGAAAAAAAAATGGTCATTAAGTATTTTATTTCATCTGTTAATTATTCATATGTTAAATCATAATATTCTTTTTGTTTGATCGTGACATTATTTCGCTTTTTGCATTTATGTAACAAATTTGAGAGACAAAAGTGCGCGGATGGTCTTAGAGTGGCTATGAACCGATAACTGTAAGTCTAATTAGCCTTGAATTATATCACCTTATCTTCGGTTATCATACCTCAATTCAATTACTTATTAATTAATATATTTCAGATTAATCGAACGCGAATCTTTTACTGAATCGTTTTTTACTGCTACTGAGTCCGAAGGTTACAAGCGCTGAATTTTAACAGGTTGTTGTTTATCTTGTATTCTCATGTTAATTGTGTAAACCTAAAAAATTGGAAACAGTTTTTATCTTAATTCAATCTCGATTTATATTTTTTATCCCAATATTTGATTTTGCTTTAATTTTTTTTTTTAGTTATTTATTTTTGGTCTATGATTAATTTACTTATTAAGCTATTATATTATTAAAATTATATATGATTGTATATTATAAATATTATTCAATGTTGAAAATTATTACATGTAATCTGGCCCTCTCATTAGATTTATTATTGTATATTTACTAGCTATGTTATTTCTTTTAAATCTTAAAACTCTAGCAAAATAATTCTAAAAATAGAAGAGAATCTTCTTTTAAAACAGTTGCTATAATGACAAATTTGAATAGAATTTTCTAATAAACCTGTTCAGTATTATGAGTCCTATTAGTATATGTCAAAGTTGACTTTCTGTTTATAGATTACGTATTAATCATAATTATAAACAACACTAGCATATCCATGATTTAATTTTGGGAAAGGAAGTTTCAGCGCAAAACCTTATATATATATATTAGGCTGACGGGTCTCGCTTACCCTGTGGGGAGGGGTAGGGATCTCGGGCAGCGTGGCTTTCCCTGGTAGACAGTCACCCAAAATCGGGCGGTCACCCATCCAAGTGCTAACCACGCTCGGCGTTGCTTAACTTCGATAACATATTGCAAGCGCCTTAGCCGGCCCTATTTCTATTGATTCTATCTATCCATCTGCTTTTTGCTTTCTATTGAGGTATTCATTGTTACGCAGAGGCTTTCACATCGATCGCTACAAGCTACATGCCTCGCCAATCTTAACCTTCGTGCCTTCATATCATGGGATATTGATTGATCAGATTCTGTAAGTAGTTGGTCTCTTCTCTATTTGTTAGTAATCTCATCTCAGATCGCTCCGGTTATCGTGTGGAGGAATTTTCTCTACAAAAAATAAAAAATAAAATAAAAATTCTTACAACAATACAAACAAATAAGCAAATTAATTTTAAATATTTAATATTATATTTTTTCGTTTCACAATAATTATGTTGAATTGTAGCACATAATAGAAACTGGTCCATAACCCCTGGAAATCAAAATCGGATGTCTGCGTCTATTCCTGAAGTCCTATTAAATTTAATTACACTAACAATAATCCTTCTGGAGATCATTTTATCTATCTATCTATATATATATATATATATATATATATATATATATATATATATATATATATATATATATATATATATATATATATATATATATAATAAATTGTTATATTTTTCTATTTTGGGGGAGGGGGACTTCAGACCGAAAGTCCGCTCCTCCCCTTAGATCGGCTAGTGTAAACAAAATACAAACGGAGGTCTATGTGTGTAAAAATGCTTCATGTGTAAAAAAATTTTCATGTTTTACTTGATGTTTCATTAAACTTTCGTTTATAAAGATGACTTCACTCGTCAAATAGTATCTTAACGATAGGAGAATGAACTGCGCCGTGTAGGTCGAGTAATTTGCTGTCCGTTAGTCGCCAAGATAGGATATTGGGTGTGGCATTGGTGTTGGGTGTTTGGGTGGGCTGGGTTCGTACCGTCGTGTTCCTGAGGTCTTGTTGCCGCCAAACTTCAATAACTATTATACTATAACATCGTTAAAAAAAAAAATACCAATAAGGTGCTATCAATTTGTAGTATCGTTTCTATTGATGCATTAACAGAACTACAAATCAAAACATGTCACCCAAGCATCCTCACTATTTTTTTTTTGGTTTCATATTAATGGCTATGTACGGCTCATGGCTCCGAAATATTTTCCACAGACCCAGAACAAATATTAAGACAGAACTCAGGCACAACTTCATGACTTATTCAAATTTTTAAACACTATCGACATATACAATAAAATTTAAAAGAACTGCAAGAGACTACAAATACGTCAATGTAAATGACCTCAGTGAACGAAACACTCAAATAAATAAATAAACCCGTAAGTTTCGTTGAAAAAAGTTATTTCAAATTATTATTACGATTTATTCAACAGATTTATAAATAATCGATCTTATTTTTGACACCCGTTAGTTATCGTACTTTCGGATCTGTTGCCATATTATGAAAATTATAATTACTGAAAAACCATCATATATTTAGACCTTATCATATCTTCCATATGACCTTATGGAAAGTGCCGCAATCGAAGATCTTAGCTGTCTGCGATTTCAAAGTTCGAACCCTCCTTGAAACGGAGCTGATTCGTTCTTGTACTTTGAATCGTTTGGAGGACACAGTGAGAGGGATATCAGCGGCTCAGCGGGATCTTAGAAGGAACCATCCGGAGGGTATGGATCTTGGGACAGCTTCAGAGAAAGCTGAAGTGGGAGGACAGCCGTTGACAAAAAGATTTCCCTACGCGGGCACACATTGTGACTTCGCTGGTCACGGGGAAAAACTGGGCCGTTCCCGAACGAATCACTAGATATTGAAAGAGGATGACGAAAAAGGAATCGCCTATGGAGTTCCAACAAAGTTTTCCAATCTTGTACATATTCTCTGAAAGAAGATGCTAAATCCATAAAAAAAAAAAATAATAATAATAAATAAAAAAAACTTGCTTCTTAACTTAACTTGAAGTTGAATATTGAAATTCTCTCGTGAACCATTTATTCAAAAACTCATAAAGCTTTACTTCAAGGTGTTTATAAATATTATGAGAAGAATAAGGTACCTAATTGTGCTCCGAATTCCGGATTCGAATCCGGCTGTGGCTAATAATTATTTATTCATTTATTTATTTATTTATTCATCAGCCATAGATCCACCCTTTGGTCCGGAAATCTTTCTGGGGCTCAAACCAAATCAATAAAGGTGAATAAGGAAAAACCTGACGGTTTCAGCGTAATTTCGGTCATATAACATCTTTATACAGCTGTTAACCAAGAAACAGTCCCTTCTTTCAAATTACTGCACTAGCAGATTCAGGATTTAATTTTGGGGGAGTGGCTTCAGCCCAAAAGATTTTTTTTTTTTTCATATACATATAACGATAATTAATTTGAAAAAAAAGAAAGAAATTAATTATCTATATGAAATGGTGTTTAAGTGGTTCTTGAAGTCGTATTAAATATAATTACACGAGCAAGAATACTTTAAGAGATAGTTTTTAGTATTTTTTTTTGTATAACATGGTTACATTTTACCATTTTGGGGGGAGCTTCAGCCCCAAAAGCCCTCCCTCCCCCTCGTAGATCCGCCTGTGAATTACTGAACATAAGAAAACCCTTTAGAGATTGTAGTATATAAGTTTTATCAAGTATTTATAAAAGAAGAGGATGTATTTTTCTGTCTAACTAAATTTAGAGTTTTATAGTTTTCTGAATCCGAAAAAATTAAATGAATAAATAAATTTGTCTATCAACTGTTACATTATAGCTATATTTCATCTAATAGTGTCCTTCTGAAAGACTGTATCAGTGCAACCCTGTACACAATAGACACTTATTTCAGAACAATATATAAGGAGCATTCCAATTATTATTATTTTGTTTTTTCTTGTATTCTGGTACGAAGAAAAGTACAATCATTTTGGTATACTTATCCGTTTATATTTTATGTTAGTTTTTATTTTTGTGTCCTTAATTATATTTATAACTTTTCTCCTAAATAGTTTGATCATTACATAATCAACTTTAAAAAAATCTGTATGAAATATATTATCATTTGAGATTAGTATTTTTTATTTTAAATTACAAACCGAATAATCCCCAAAATTATAAACCCTTGATTTTTTATGTTTTGTCACCAAATTTCACCCTAGTAGTTAATACTGTCCAATATATATTTTTTTTATATTTCTGTTCTGTGTTGAAGATGAATATATTTTTGTTGCAGAAAAAATGTTGCAACAGATACTAGACGAGATGTGGATAGACCCCGACTTACTTGCTGAGTTGGATGAAACACAGAAACAGACACTGTTCTGCAAGATGCGGGAAGAACAGGTCAGGAGATGGAAAATGTGGGACTCGACTAACCCATCTCTACCCACAGGTATTTACTTCTCATATTGCTTAAATTTTAAGAAATACTAATTTAAAAAGATAATACAATTACAAATAATTCTAAAATAGTAATATTTCCATTCATTTATTATTGATTATTATTACTTAATAAACAATTATTGATATAAAGAAAATCTTCTCTATTAAATTATTAAAATTAATGATTTTTATTTAAAGTTAAACTAAGGATACTTAATTTTTAATTTCAATGATTTTTTATTTTTTATAATCAAGAGAGCTTTATTTTTTGTATTTAAGTAATTATTTTGTATGCATTTAATTATTTGTACTTATTTAATATTTACAACAAAAACAGTCTTTAAAAAAAGTCTTATGTTTTTTATTCTTTCTAGAAAATGACAATAATAAAAAGTATAAAAGGAAGGTTGACTTCCTGATAGGAGAGGATGGAGAGCCTTGGACTTGGGTAATGGGAGAGCATCCTAATGACAAGAGTATTGAGCAGATCCTTGAAGAGGAGGCTCGGGAAGCAGCTAGGAAGCTGGCCGAAAAAGAGACACAATCTTTGAGGTTGAGTGTTGTCGAGGCAGAATTAACTGAACTATTGGAATTGAACAAGAAGCAACTAGAGGAAATAGAGACTCGGAAGCAGATGTTAGACTCTGCAGAAGATATCTACTGTTCTGCTGATGAATTAAGAATAGCTGCTGAAACTTCATTTTTTACTAAAAGGGATGCCCTTCAAGAAATCACATTCAACAAAGTAATCTTTTATTTTGTTTCTTCTGTAAATTATATTTTAATTATTTTGATGAATAACTTTGGTGATGCATGGTTATTAAAAAAAAAATTGCTTAGAAATATCTTCAGAAATGAGCAGTAGAAATATATTTCAATTATCATACTGCTGCTTCTGTATTGTATTTGAAAAAGTCACTGCTACGAAGCATGGAGATTCTTCAGAAAAAAACCTGTACCCTACAACCCATGAAGGGTCTTGGGTTCAGTACTATTTAGTTAAAGTACTGTTTCTTAGTCAACGGTTGTGCAAGGAGGTGATTTGATTCATATCATGCTCAACCTCCAGGTTTTATTATTTAATTAAGAGTACCCACTTTATTAAGCCTGAGTGTGCCTCAGAAGGGTCTTCTGATCCCAAGGTTGTCCCACGGCTGATGAAACAGAATAAATAATTTTCCTGCCATGAGCCAGGATTTGAACCCCTGGCCTTGAGCATTGGAAGATCAGTGCTCTACCACTGAGTCATCCTACTCCCCTTCAATATTTTCAATAATATTCAATTGAATATTCTGAAGCATCTGGAACAAACTTTTACTTGCCATCACAAAAATTATTAACAATTATTTGTGGTTCAAGCAGAACATGCGTTCAGGAGCTTTTCTAGATTTCAGCTCTTCCCTAATTGAAGTGTGCTAGGCCCAATGCAGTTTTTCATATGTACTCATACGAAATCTTTGTAATACAGTTAGTTCTACTCCATCATTCATCTTTCTTGCATGAATGAAGAGTCACTGCATTTCAATATATAAAATATATTTAAAAGTTTCATGTCCTTTAGATAAGTGAGTAATTACATATTACATATTAATTACATATAAAAATATTTGTATTAATGATTTTTTACAAATTAGTTGTTTGTTGTATCTAAAAGTTCTTGCCAATTCTTGTGAACAATTTTGGCCATTGTTTCTCTGTCATACTCAGTAAATTTTTTTCTATGTTGTAGACCATAGTTGTTCCCTGCTGAACATTCCACCTTATAGTTTTGTTGGAAACATGCTGAGTGTGGAAATGGCTCGATAGCTTCTCCAAAAGTCCATCTCCAATGACATCAGCCTTGTCTCCTCCTTTTTGGTGATCATCCACATTTCAGATGCATATAGCGTGACGCTTTCCAAAAAGGAATGATATAGCCTTTTTTTGTTTGGGACTTACCTGCTTGTTCCATAACACAGAATGTAATGTTCCAATTATCAGCCTTCCTCTTGTAATTGTTTCCATGATTTCCTTGGAGAAGCTTCCAACCTCAGTTATCCGTCAGCTGAGATATATAAATTCATTGATTCTTTCTAATTTCCAATTTTCTTGGGATAAGGCTCTTATATTCCCATTAAATGCCATATACTTTGGTTTTATTGTATTCACCTTCAGAGTCCAAGCTCTGTACTCCCCCAGGAGCTTCCTTAGCATAAAGCTGTCATCTTCCACATCATTTGCTATTACTGTCTGGTTGTCAGCGGATCGTAGGGTATAAAGAAATTTATCATCTATCTGTCTTCCCATCCCATCTTCTAGGGAACACCCTTGTTTGAGGCTTTAAGTTGAGCGGGAAGTGGTTTGTTTATGATACTTCTGAGTTCTATCTTCACTCTAGCACCATTATAGCATCTTTTGATGACATTTTTATTAAATAAGTTCTTACTCATATGTTTTTTAAGGATTCTCAAAGTCTGCACTATGGAACCGTATCATAGGCTTTCTGTAGATCTATGAAAACCATGTATATCTCGCTATTATAGCCATTTTTTCTTTTCAATTAATTGTGTGAGCATGAATATATGATTAATGCATGACCTATTCGCATGAAAGCCAGCCTGTTCTTCAGGTACCTAGGGATCTCCCATTCTTCATCCCATTCAGTGCATTCTCTACTTCTTCAACAGTCACTGGGTCCAAATCTTCTGTTTCAGTGCTATTTATTTATTTATTTATTTGATTTTTTTTTTGTTGCCTCTACCCTGTAGGGTCATTGGCAACACCTTTGTATGCATAATTAACATAGAAATATATAAAAATCATTACATATGACTGGCATAATTATCCAATATTTCTGCAGTTAAATTAATATCACTAATGATAATATAAGTTTAAAAAAAGCACTTTATATTGATAATTTTAATAGCCTCAGCTACATGATTTTCATGACTTGATTTTCTTTTTTACAGCAACAAAATGTATCTCAAAGAGTAGCCCAATGGGAAAAGAGATTGATGGATGAAAGAACATCAGAACATTTCAAAAGAATACAAAGGAAAAAACAAGAAGCTGTTAAAGAAGCAGAAGAAGCTGAAAATAAACATGAACAATTCTGGAGAGAGCAACGTGTGTATAAGACATCATTTCCCATTAATCATTTTATCTATAAAATGTATATATTTATTTCCTTAGGTCATCACAGGTTTCTTGGATTTTTATGGAATAAAGACGCCTAGCCTAATAAATAAACAAACTTAAAAATGTAATGCTTAAAGTTGCACAAATAAGAAATTATTTTATATGTAATGATACCAAAACAAATTTTTGATACCAAAATAATCCTTTAAAAAGTAAAATGTTGTTCATCAATAAAAATCATCAGTTAATATAATTCAAAAGAATGATCTACAAAGTTTGTTGCATATATGGAGCAAAAATAATTTTAAAAAGTGATCTTTTATCTCGTTTGAAATTAAAATATTTATATTTATACATAAAAAAATGATGATAATTTTCTTGGTTTTTGTAAAATATCATAACAATATTAAAATATTAATGAAATATATAAGTTTCATTTTATAAAAACGTAGACCTAAACACTAGCAGATCCAGGATTTAATTTTGGGAAGGGGGAGCTTCAGCCCGAAAGTTTTTTTTCATAAAAATAATGGTAATTACATTTTAAGAAAGAAAGAAACTAACTACCTATATGAAATGGTGTTTGAGCGATTTATAAAGTCCTTTTAAATGTAAATACACGAACAATAATACTTTTTTTTTCTGTTCTTGCCTACCTCGCCTTTTAGGCTATACGGGATTTTCCCAGGCCAGAGGGTGAGGGCGAGGAATTTAAAATCCCCTCTGACACCGGGACGCGAACTTGTACTGTTTTTTTTTTAAATCTCATATTCAGGTCATCTGATTGCCTGGCAACTCATGGTGCTGTGCACATGCGTTAGCTCATTCACCCACATTGTCCCTAAAAATTCAACGAACAATAATACTTTAAGAGATAATTGTTTCCATAAAACATGGTTATATTTTGCCATTTTGGGAGGGAGGGAGGGGGCAGGAGGAGGACTTCAGCGCGAAAGCCTCCTCCCTCTCATAGATCTGCCTGTGGACTTACATATATCATTGGGGTAATGATTGCTGAGTGGGCGGGGTGGCCGAATGGGCTAATGCGTGTGCACTGCACAGCCGTTGCGCGGCAACCTGATACATAAGACTTTGATAAAAAAATAGTCACGAGTTCGAGTCCTGGTCCCCGGAGGAGTTTTTAAATCCCTGCCCACACTCCCTGGCCCGGGAAAACTCCGTATAGCCTTAAAGGCGAGGAAGGGGAGGACAAAAAAAAAATAAATAAATAAATAAAATAAAAAAATAATTGCTGAAGATTTTGAATAGTGTAATGTGCCTTTCCATGAGAATCACTCTGGTAAATGAATATGGAAAATGGCTCTTTTCGGTTTTTTTTTTTTTTTTTTTTTTTTTTTTTGTGGATATAAAATAATACAAAAAAAATTGTATTTTAAAAAGTTATATATCAAACCAAATAGTTTTCAGCATTCAATATAAAATCGTTTAGTCTGATAAAAATTGTAAATGGTATTTTTTTCAAAATAAATTGGAATTATCTAAGGAGCATGTCTCCAGGCACTCAAAGCTTTAAGGTCAAAATGGAGAAAGATGGAAGGAAAATGGAATAAGGCCATTTTTTTGAAAATTGGGTTAGTTTAAAACTTCACCCTCTCTCTTCTCCGACACATTAATATACGCTTTAATTGATGATTTTTAATTATCTTTTTAAAAAATTAATTGGAATGTTTTTCTATTATGATCAAACAATTCAAATGCTTGTATTTAACTACAAATGTTCAAAAATTAATGTATCTAAATGCCCTACTGTAAAAATATATGTATACAACTGATTAAAAATGACAAGCTATTTGTATTTTTATATAATTAAAACTGAATTTATTCATAAAAATTTAATGATGCCATGGGACCAGAATACGCATTCTCTTCTTATAAACATGTTTTGGAAAATCTAAAATTTATTTAATAACTATCTAGAATTTATCTTCCTCAATTAAATCAATGAGTGAAGAAGAGAATTAAGTAGAAAAATTTGATTTTTTTTATTGTTCAATCTTACCATTTAGACCAACATTCATCGTTCAGTAGTTGAAATATCTAGTTATTACATCAGAAATGAGATTTTGAAACCAGTAATTGTTTAATGTCGTACAGAAAGGAAATAACTACAGGTGAAGAAGAATGCTGTGTCTATTTATTTGGAATATTTTTCCATCTTTAAAACTTATTCTATCAAGATGAAATATTTGGGTGATGCTTATATTTTTATTTGTTATAAATTATCTGCTATAAACTTTAACTTTCATAGCAAGAAGCTACTGACTACCTATTGGTTCTATTAATTGATTTCTTCTGATATATATATATATATATATATATATATATATATATATATATATATATATATATATATATATATATAAGTAAAAATCGTGTTTATTACTGTATCGTGTGTATTACTGTAGGAGATATAAAAATAGAGCTGAAATATTTGATGTACGTACAATATATGGTGTTATGGCTCTTTATGGCTACTTACATTAAGAGATGAGCAAGGTCTTAAAGTTTTTTAAAGTATTGGACAGAATATTCTGACTGAAGAAGGGTGAGTCAACTGGAAAATTTAGGCGGTTACACAACACTGAATTGCATGAACAGTACCCAGTTAATATAATTGAGATGATTAAGTTGAGGCAAATAAAATGGACAAGTAAAATCGCTGGGCTTAGTAACAACAAATTCCTAAAAAATTAACATGTGCTGTGCCGACTGACAAGCGTCCGAGGGTTAGACCAAAGTGAATGTGGGAAGATTGCGTTAAGGCTGATCTGACAGGTTGGGTTTAGACAGCGCCCAGTGGATGGAAGAAGGTGGACATCGATTGGTGGTATCGACATCGAACCTTTGGTTTCACCAAGCCTTATTATTATTACAATATAAGATGTGAAAATGGGAAAAGTATTTCCCATATCGTCATCATGAAATATTTGTAAAAAGAAATTAAAAAATTAGGATATTTAATATTTGTCAAATTAGTTTGATATGAGTGGCCTCATATCAAAGACTGACATTCGTAATTTTTAAAAAGTTGAGTTTTAAAAAGGCAAGTTTTGTGTCAGAGCTTCACTTTGAACCAATTCTAAAGATTTTGTTTCACGATTCAACACAAACATTCTTAAATAAAATCATCAAAGACAGTTTGAGGTGAACCAATAAAACAAAACTTGACCTTTTCTCCACTTTCTGAAAATGACAGATGTCCGTCTTTGATATTTAGATCATATACTGAAATCAATCTATCCCAATTTTTATTGTTTAACAGAACGAAAAGCAAAAGAAGCAGAACAGCAGATTAGGGAAATAGCCCGAAGAGCTAGGGAAGAACACAGGAGATCTATCCTGGAATCCGAACCTATGCCTCAAGGAAATCAAAAGTAATTCTTAGATCTTAATTTCTTTTTAATAATTTTTCCTTTTGGTTAAACTTCACATATATTTTATTAATTATTTTTTATCACAAAAGATATTTTTGCGAATTTACAGCTTGCCAGGACTGGGTAAAGAAAGAACTGGTGTTTCCAAACCTCCTAATAAAGACGCTATTGTAGAATGGTTCAGGTCTAGCCAAGCTAATAGACGAGCCGGTTTAGAACCTAATACAAATGCCATAGCACCTTGGTTTCATGGTATGTCCTTCAATAATATTTTATTATTAAATAGTGTTATTTTACTAAAGAGATTGTGCTAGTTCATTTAGTAAGTGACTGAGTTGCAAAGATAATTATTTATACTGGTACATCAGTTATGGACCAATCCATGGGTCAGAAGACCCTCCTGAGGCACACTCAGTTTCTAAAAAGTGAAGTGGGTGCACTTAATTAATTGAGGGGAAAAACCTTATGGTTGAGTGTGATCTCGATCTTAATCACCTCCTTGCACAACGATGGTCCAAGAAATAGTACTTCCTTACAGAGAACTGAGATTTTTCATGCGATGTAATGGTGCAGGTTATTATATTATTATTGATAATAGTTAAGGTATGATGGTTTATTTTTTTAAAATGAATCCTCAATGGACATTTTCAACATTATTTCTAGGAGAGAAATAGGATCATGCTGATATTATAAAAAGTCTATTTAAAATTTATTTCAAAAAAATATTTATTTTGCCATAACAGCTGCACTATAAAATATATATTTGATTCCATTGTACAATAATTATGTGATTTATAGGACTGATAACAAGACAGGAGGCTGAAAGTCTTCTCCAGGTGCAACCTGTAGGTAGCTTCCTCGTGAGGGTCTCTGAAAGAATATGGGGCTATGCCATCAGTTATAGAGATACTGATCGGTGTAAGCACTACCTCATAGATGCCAGCAATGGAACTTACCAGTTCTTAGGAAATAATCAGAAATCGCACAACACTTTAGGTTTGTTTTATTTCATAATATCATTAATACTAACTTAAAAGGATTCATTGTACTTGTTTAATTATTTCTTTTTTTATTTAAACCAATTTTATTAAAAAGAGGGAAACTTCCCCTCTGTGCATGTTTACAAATAATGAATTTTAGTTATTTTGTAACAAACATTAATTATATTCTAAAATTTCTTATCAGGAGATTTAGTTCGATACCACGGCCTGAAGCCAATCACTGCTGATGGTGGGGAATTACTGGACAGGCCTTGTCACAGATCCAAGCCGCTGCCACCCGCCTTCCAGCCAATGTCAATAAGAGCAAGGTGAAGCAGCTCTATTTTTGTTGGTGCACCTGCGCTCTCAATATCAGCTTTAATATTTAACAGACTTAAGAACCATCTCATTGGAAGAGCCCATATCTTTTTAAAAACGATTTTATCTTAATTTCTGAATTAGATTTTTAGACATTTGCATTCTAAATTTTAAGCATTGCATCAAATAATAAATTTGTTTTTGAGTTTTAAACCCTTAAGAAGTTATTCCTCAGTTATATATTTAACTGTTTAGGTGATAAATTAAGCTTTGAAGGCAGGCCTTTTGAATGGAAATCAAGTTTATATATATATATGAGACTTTAGTTAAAATCTCAAGCCACTATAAATTTTATAACTTTATTTAATGAATTTTAACTATTACCAAGGTTATTAAATCTTTGGAATAGGATCTTACCAAGTACCGTATTATAAATTAATAAGTTTTAAATCATCATTATCATCATCAAACAGCATAATTCATTACTGTGTCCTGTCTTTTTCAATAAATTTATAGCAGTTTTCATTTTACTTACTTTAGTATGAAATGAAACAGTATAGATGTTATGTATTGATTTGTTTAGTTAATATTTCCTCACAAGAGAAAAACTTAAATCTAAAAGTAAATCTATTTCTAGAAGACATTTTATACAGCATTGCAAGTTTTAAACATTTAATTTTTTTGGTAATAATGCAAAGCCTTTAAATGAAGGAAATTAACAGTTTATTGAGTACGTGATAACTGCTGAATGTAGTTTTTAAACCTTGGAGATTTGGTGTGTCCAATTTTGAAATGAATAATTAGCAATGCAGTTCCTAACAATATGAATTAGCCTAGTAGCACTCATAAATTCTAGTTTGACTGTAATTTTTAACTAATTTACTAAAAAATAATTTTTGTGGCATTTATTTATTTTATAATTGGATTTTCCAAAACTAAAATTTCATATAATACGATCAAATTTTAAATTTTAATCATTTAGAATTTTAAAAATTAAAATTAAAAAGTTCTGCTTACTTTATCAATATCATTAATAAATGATGTTGATTTTACAAATATATTATTTACAAAATCCATTCGTTCTTTTTCATTGGCCTCACCATTTGCAAATGTCTAATTATTTATTTTAAGGTCGATTGTCTTAGTTTAAAAAAATTATGTGTTAAATTTGATCAAAACATTTCTATTATTGGTGAACTTTTTCGATGCTGAAAATTCATCAACATTCGAAGACATTTTAACTAATTAGTATTTAAAATTTGATTCTGATTGTTTTGGGCATTTATATTTTTCTCTTGGCCATATTTATGTATTGATATTTTTAAGAAGTGTGTTTGTAAGTTTGATTAAGGAATGCTTATCCCCAGAATTACTAGTAATTCTTTCACGGTGTAGACGTAATGAAACTATTTTTCTTAAGGGCCCAATGCTTTGTGATATTATTGAATGTTTTCCCCATTGATTTGGGATTATCATTTATTAGAATGTTTTAGTGTTTTCCCATTTCGTTAGATTCTTTATTTAGGACAAAATAAAATAATTCTATGAAATTATTTCTCAATCATTAAGTTATAATTTGGTAATGAGTCTGCAGATGTAAGAAATTGTATTTATTTTTTAATGATTGCCAAAAGAGATGAATTTGTTATAAAATCATCACCAACTCGCTATTGTTTAAAAGTGGCTTGGTTTAATTTCGTATTTTGATGTATTATAGCAATTTATTTTTCTTACATTTAAGTTTATTTATTGTTTGAATTTAAAATATTCTATGTACTAGAAATAAATTTAAGTAACGTACATTGAAATATTTTGTAGCTAAAGAGTTCTTTTTGGCAGTAGGATAGCAATATACACATATTATTTGACATAATGATGTCTACTGTATACTGTTTTTAATAAAATATTTTATATTATTCTTAATTTTTTTGTGTGTGAAAGATGTATCCTGATTTTCCTTCTAGAGTCCTTTTTTTTTCAATTATGATATCACTGGATAATTTGACACCACATTAAAACATTTGATGAACTATGATGTTTGTCTGGGACTCTGTATCATCAGAGATGAGCATCCAATCTGGCCTGTGAAAGTGTCTTTAATTACACTGAACAACAATAAAAATGTTTCGGGCTCAAAAATAATCAATTCATAGGTACTCCAGCTGCTTCAAAAATCACCCTAAAAATGACAGATTAGCTCTTTCTTTGGGGATAAAGTGACATTGCATTTTTAGAGTCAACATTTGCAATTTAAGAAGTTAGTACACTTGTCAAATAACAAAACACAAATGCTCTTCAGCTGTATGTAAGCCATAAACATAGTTACTGTTGCTGTGACTATGAGTTTCCTATAGTTTCTGCTGTAATTATTGCAAAATTTCTGGTTTGAGAGTACTTTTTTAGTGTAAAACTCATAAAAATGCCACGAAAATGTGTAAATATGGTGAATAATTTTTGTTATATTGGGTTAGCAAAGAAATCATTTCGGTTTTTCAGGATGAAATAAAACTTAATGTGTTATAGACATAAAATTTATTTTAATCTACAATATATTGACCATTATTTAATATGAATTTTCCTATCTTTCCACTTTGTTCGCATACAAACAGCATTATTGATGTCTTGGTGGAACACAATACCCTTCCGATCATTTGTAACTCTTCAGGATGTTCTCCAAATTCGATGTTACTATACCCGTTGGAAAGCTAAATTATTGCTCTTTAAAGCTTTATGAATTTTTTTTTTATTTAATGCCTACATAACAGATAAATAAACAAAAACTCCTTATAGGTTTTTATTTTTTAACTCCATTTGTAGTTTGTTTATGAAGGTCCTGTTGATGTCAATTTAAAGTCGTATTGAAGTTAACAGTTTTTGTGATTTTTGAAAAAAAAAATCATGGGAAGGACACTCTAAGCCTGGAAACTTCGCCGATCTCGCGCAAATGGTTTCCTATGCTTGTGCACGACACATTTAGGGCCTTAGCAATCTCTCGCACTGATTTGGTGGGATTTTGATCAACAATGGCCTTAACAATGCTCGTTTCAATTTCATGTGGGGAACCATGCCGTTGAGCATTATTGATGTCAAAATTTCCTGAATGAAATCTGGCAAACTAATTTTGACAGGTGCATTCAGTTAAGGCATCATCCCCATAAATACTGCAAATTTTTCTATGAGCTTCTGCAGCATGCTTACCTTTTTAAAATTAGACAACAAAATATGCCGATAATGAATGATATTTTCTTCCATATTCACAGTGCACTAGCAAACGCAATACTAAGCTAACTTCAACAAGAGTTGACAGATATAGTTGTTGACATATTACAAACAAGATAAACAATACAACTCAGGGATTAATTCATCAGGTAAGAAGTGCATCATAATAACATAAAAATAAACAGAAAAACCAGCAGGACTTATTTGCTAACCTATTATTTGTGGTGAAATAACATTTTCCTCACAAAAACACAATCTGATCCCTCTTGTAAAGACTGCCTATCAGCATTATTTCAGTATGAAAGTAGGGGACGAGGATAAATTGTGCATGTTTAGTTATACTGTAAGAATGGATGAAATGATCAATGGCTTTCGCTGTGCCTGTGGTTTGGCAGGAGTCTACAAACCATACAGATGACTACTATTTCTGTTTGACTGCACCTATAAACGCAGGATTGTCTATGAAGAAAAGAAGAACAGTTCAGTATCCAAATATTCGATCTGCTATTCGACCCATTCTGCCTTCAGATAGTTTACCAGTTCCTACTCCACCCGAAAATTGTGTGTTTGAAGTAGAAAATGAAGACATTGTGGAACAAGAAGAAGAACCAAACAAGCCTTCCACTTCCCGTGACCCTGATTTTGAGGGAAAAGATAATAATCTGCACAGACTGAGTCAAGTGAAATTTAGCCATATCATTAGAGACCTTGGCCTGTCTAAGGAGTAGGCAGAAATTCGTGGGTCTCGACTACAGAAATGAAATCTTCTCGAAAATGATGTCATAATCTCACACGGTACAGAAAATGTCACAGGCAACTGCTTCTCTTTTTTGAGAAGAAAAATAATCTTGTTGTTTACAGCGATATTAATGGCTTGATGAATTTGAACTAGGATTTGACTTTGAATTTGAACTAGGATCCAACTGAATAGAGGCTATTCATAGACTCCTCCAAGCTTAGTTTGAAAGCAGTGTTAATTCACAATGCCAACCTTCTTTCTTAAATTTCTGTTGGTCATGCAGTTCACGTGAAGGAGATATATGCAAATATAACAGCCCTCTTGAACTCACTCAAATATCATGAACACAAAGGAAAACCTGTGGTGATCTAAAAGTCATTGCCATACTCTTAGGAATGCAACTGAGGTAACCGAAACATTGCTGGTTCTTGTGGGACAGTTTAGATAGGAAATTGCATTATATCAAAGGAGTCTGGCCTGCAAGAAATCTTAACCCTAGCAAGAAAAATGTTGTTGTCAAGCCTCTCGTGAACCCAAAAGATATCCTACTTCCACTCCTGCATATCAAGCTGGGTTAGATGAAAAATTTCGTCAAAGGTATGAACCAAGAAGGATGGGGATTTAAGTACATAAGAGAGAAATTTCTGAAATTAAGTGATGCAAAAGTTAAGAAATGCATTTTTGTCAGGCCACAAATTTGAGTACTTGTGAAAGATCCTGTATTTGACCAAGTTTTGGAAGGGAAAGAAAATGAAGCTTGGGAAGCCTTCAAGGGAGCTGCTCATGGATTTTTAGGTAACAACAGAGATGACAACTACACACATTTGGTGACAGTGCTCCTGCAACCTTGGATACAACATGTCCCTTAAAATCCATTTTCTCCACTCCCACCTAGACTTTTTCCCTCTTAGTTGTGGAGCTGTTACTGATGACCATGGAGAAAGATTCCATCTGGACATTTCTGTTATGCAACAAAGATATCAGGGCCATTGGAATGAAGTGATGCTTGCAGATTACTGTTGGTCTTTGTGTATGGATGTTCCGGAACTCCCTTACAAGAGGCAAGCTAAAAGATGACGATCTCATGAAGCCACCACATAATCTCTTCAGGCACGACTATCTGTGAGGTATTCTTCCAGCAATTTAGAACTCTTAGAATGTAACTACCTTTTGAAAAATCAAATGCACATTCGATGTTGTTAGCATATGTAATTAAAATGAATCTTTTTCTCTTAACCCATTAATATGAAATACTTCCATCTAGTGTATGTCACAGAAACTAGAGCTAAGAAAAAATGTTCACTGTCATATTTGTTTTTCTTAATCCAAAATTAGTAAGAATTGACACATGAAGGGAAATATTATAAAATTTATTTTTTGTTGCTCAGTGTTATTAAAAAAATGTAAAATTTAACAAATTACCCAGTAAGAGGTTGCTACAACATACAATGCATGTTCTATTTCTCTTAGAAAGCTCATTTCACGAGTGTAGTGTCATTGATAGATAAAGAACAAGATTTTTTTTTTAAGTGAAAACTTCTTTAGGCCCGTTTAGCACTTTTTTTTGTGGAGGGTGAATTAGATTTAGCCGTCAGATCTCCAATGTATAATGTATGGGGAAAGTCAGCTGTTTGGAGTTTTGGAGTTTGGAGACCTTTAAGATAGGCAATACAAAATACACAGAAGAAAAGCTCTTTTGATTTGTGAAAATAATTTTAATTAAGCTTGGAGAACTAGCTTACATAAGGTCACTTACAGGAAAGCAGGAAGTAATATTAGAGGAAATGGAAAAATATGCAGTAAATATCCAAGGTATAAGTGAAGTTAAAAGAAAAAGTAGTGGATAAATCATACTCGACAAAAATGATACCCTTATGAACTCAGGAATGCCAAAAGGAACAAGAGCAAAAGAAGAAGTTAGTATTATCTTGAAAGAGAGCATTTACTCAAAGGTTGAAAAATGTACCCCTATTATTTCTCGATTTCTTATTTTTGATATGCAATTATGGGTAAGCAGGGCTACTCTAATTCAGGTGTATGCAACTAACAGAGGATGCTGATATATTTGGCAAAGAGCAATTTTATACCAAACTGGAGAGAGAAACCCATAAAAGTCACGATATAGAAAGAGAAGTAATAATAATGGGAGACCTAAATGTTAGGATTGCAAGAGATATCAGAGGACCGCATGGTACAATGGGACTTTATAAAGTACCATATACTCTCAATGTATAGAGGAGAAAGAACTAAAAATATAAATGGACAGAAACTCATTGAATTCCATATAGAATCTGATCTGTGAGCAGGAAATACTTTTATTCTCCATAATGATGTGCAAAAAATTACATTCTCTGGTCAAATAAAGATCATTAACAGCATCATTGATTATTTCATGTACAATAAGAAAATAAGATACTATTTTACTGACATAAACGTTATCAGAGGTGCAGAGCTCGGCACAGACCTCTTGCTTCTTGTTGCAAATAACCGGATTGTTAAGTGAATCAAGCATATGAAATCCAAAACATATGAAAGGATTGATTCAGCGGTATTCCAGGATTCCGAGAAAAGAACCTCACAGGCAGACTTCCTAGACCATTGACTCTTATCTTTAGATCTGGAAAAGAAATGTGGTCAGATGTTAGATGTTATATACTGGAGATTGCTAGAGAGATGTGCTCTAATAAGAAAATTAATATAAGGACAAAAAGAACAGAATGGTAGAGTGAAAAATTAAGTGCTCAGTGGCAAACAAAAAGAAATCCTGGAAAGAATATACAGCGTATATTCTTCCCCCTCACTCCTTTAATACTTCTCGGTACCCCTCATTCTTCTCCTGAACAACTCACCTATCTTATTCCATACTTTCGCTAACATGGGAACATGGGTGTTAATTTTGATCGACCACCTGGAAACCACATATCTCCCAAATTTCCAGCCTTATCCTGAAACAGTTCAATCGCCTATGCTATCTCCTTCCAAATAAGTCCCATCAACTCCTAGTTTCCTCCCAATTTTGACTATGGCTGTATAGAGTATAGTGAACTCTCTGAAGATTTTGAAGCCAAACTTAAAAGCCTAATGAATTATGCAATACATTTGTTTTCAGAATCTCAAGAGATACGCATGTTAGGCAGCATTACATCACCATCAGTACTACATAGCTACCTTTCTGTACCAGGTCATGAGAACTCCTTGACCCTCTTATATTTTTTACAGCTTACAATTCAATCCTTTCCGACTAGATCTTGTACTTCCGACCTGTATCCTACTCCTCACTGAACTGCTGTGTTTGATAAATCCTTTACAATTCAAGCCATCTCCCTCTGGAATTCTATCCCTCCTGATATTCGATACACACAATCAGTTTCTTCTTTCAATCCTCTTCTCTTTAAACACATACTCCTTTCCCAATCCGATTGAATACGAAATTTACCTAAGAGAACTATTTAAGTACCCCAGAGACTATTTCTGTTTATTTCTGTTATTTTAGTTTCTTAAGTTTGTTTTATATATATATATGTATGTTTTTCTTTCTTTTTTTCTGTATTTTTAATTTTAATTGATCATTATTGTAAATATGTAATTTATTTATGACCAAACAGACATGCATTCTGTACTTATAATTTGTTCTAAAGGGACAAAAATCCCAGAATAATAAAATATATTTTCATTTCATTTCAAATAACTCTCAGCAAAAGTGTTCTGTCTATATTCAAAAAAAGAATATCTCAAAGGACATTGATAAGGAGTTTAACAGTAGAAATTTGGAAGGGAACTAAAAGTTAAAGGTCTTAGATGAAAAAGAAGTAAAAGCAAAAGAAATGTGACAAATGAAAATGGAGACACAGTAACCAACACCTTGGCATTCTAGAAATGTGGGATGGTACTATGGCATGCAGACCATACATCAAGCTCTGAACAATCAATTCCCAATCCAGGTGAACAAGATAATGACCAAGACCTATGTTTTAGCACAAGACACAAGTTAATTTTATTTTATATTTATATATCACATTATAGTGTTATATATTACAACAAATAAGCAGTTAAAAAGTTAAATGTTAAATTTTATATTTCATTCATGTACATATTTTATAGTTCACAAATATAATGTAAATTGTTTTTAATGGACACTAAATAAGTGATGTTACAATTTTTTCTATATTATTCAAAACATTTATAAATATAGTATTACAAACAATATAAACATGTTCCAAGGAAATTCCTTCACTTTTTTATCAATCACATTTTTTATAGATTGACATATATTATGTTTATTTCATTTTAATTAAGTAGTTTCCATAACACTTGATTGATCATAATTACCACATCTTTATTTACTATAAAATTGAATCATGTAAAAATATGTTTATTAATTAGATAGTTTTTATTATATCTGAATATAATATAATTTGTATGTATCGAATATAATTTGTAATCCTTTCAGATCCTCTACCGCAGCCTTTCCTGTATCCTTCGATGATTTAAACTCACATTTTATATCTGTCGCTAATACCTCTTCTCTATCCTTCTCTTCCGGCTTTTCTCCAGAGATATCCTTTAATGACAATAACTTTTATTTTTCTGACACCTCTCCCACAGATCTTTTAACTGCGGTAATGAAATCCCACACCGATTCCATAGGACCAGACGGCATCCCTGTCAAATTAATAAAATTATGTCTCCCTGAAATCCTCCCAGCTCTTCTTTTTATCTACAATTTCTCCCTTCAGAATTCAGTATTCCCTACCTCTTGGAAAAAGCCATTGTTCTTCCTTTAAATAAAAAGCCTAACCCATCTTCGCCCGTTGATTTTCGTCCAATCTCAATTCTTTCTAACCTCTCAAAGCCTCTTGAAAGACTGGTGCAATTCCAAGTTTCCAAGTTCCTTGAAAAGTCCAACCAATTTGATCCTCTCCAATCTGGTTTCTGTCCTGGCTATTCCACACAATCTGCCTTAATTAAAATCACCAGCGACATTCAATCTGCAATAGATGATAGAAAATTAACTATCTTTATACTTTTTGACTTTTCCAAAGCCTTTGATACCATTAAACATTACATCATCTTCAACAAATTAAAATCATTATCTTCCTCCAATAGTTCCATATCTTGGTTCCAATCTTTCATCTCCCAACGCACCCAAGCAGCCTCCATACCCAATCAATCACTATCTGCCTACCTTCCGTTATCCTCTGGAGTTGCCCAGGATTCAAGCATATCTTCTCTCCTTTTCTGCTCCTATATTAACAACCTAGATAATTCAATTCTTCATTGTTCCCACCACCTTTATGCAGACAATTCCCAGATCTACCTATCCTTTTCTCCCCCTGAGTTATTGGTAGCATTTGCCAAGATTCAAGAAGACCTTGATCGAATCAGTGCCTGGGCAAATGTAAATGGTTAAGGTTAAATGCTGCCAAAACTCAGACCAATGTCATTGGTTCCAAGCCCCTTATTAGATCCCATACCGACTTTTCCATATTACACCTTAATGACCAGCCGATTTCCTTCTACTTCTCTGTTAAAAATTTATGATTTTTCATAGATCAAACCCTCTTCTGAAATTACCATATTTCTCACATTTCCCGAAGAACAATTTCTACCCTTAAACTATTTCATCACTTGTGCCATCTCCTACCTCAACATATGCGTAGACTCCTAATTTCCTCATTCATCTTCCCCCACAGCTGTGTGGTGTATGATGGCCTCTCGGTGGAGCTCCATGATAGACTGAAAAGATTAATGAATAGCTGCTTAAGATTAGTTATTGGTGCCCCGAGGTACTCCCATGTCTCTCACCACTACAATGAGTTAAGGTGGCTCTTTCCCTCCTTTCGAAGACAGTATTTCCTAGATACGTTTCTTCATCAAATCATCATCCTTCTTACGCCTACAACCTTCTCCAATTCAAATCCTCAATCCATTCCCTTTCAGCAAGATCTTGACCTTCTGACCTCTACATCCCTTCTCACAGATCTGCCTCATTCTAAAACTCCTTTATTGCTCGTGCCATGAATTTCTGGAATTCCCTATCTATGAAAATTTCGGCAATCACCCTCCATATCCACATTCAAAACCCTCCTATTCCAATTCCTATCCCAAAAACAGTCGGATGCTTGCTAAACTTTCGATATTATATATTTTTATCATATCATTCATCATCAAATGACTATACTATTCCATACTGTAAACTTCATTAGGGATTTTAGAATATCTTCCTGCTCTCAATGCCACTGAATGCATCTATTGTTTGTTTTTTTATTATTTTTATTCCTATATATTTGTACAAATAAATTTGTACCTATAGTTACAATAAGATAATGATGTGTTTAGATATTACTTATTATTTAAATACTCTGACATTTTATATTGTCAGATTTGTCTTTCCTTTGTTAGCAGAAACACAGCTTATTTTAAAGAAGAACTCAATGAATTTTTTATTTTTCAAAAGTGTATAATTATAATTTTTCCTATTGTACATAGTTTTAAGTGTCTTATCATAGTTTTAAGTGTTTTGTATATAGATTTTTTTTTTTTTTTTTGTATATAGCTTGTTTAACTAATATTTTCTTTACTTTCCCTTTTTTTATTAATGTTTTATTTTTGCCAGATGTACTATTTTGTTATTCTAAAGAGACTTTGTCCCAGAATAAAGTTATTTTCTATTACTATTAAAAAAAAATATGGCTTTCAAATAACAACTTCCTTGTTAAAATTTAAACATAAGTAATGAAAATAAACATCAATATCTTTTAAATAATTATATTTCAAAAATGTTTATGTTAAATGGAGATTAACCTGATTTACCTTATTTGCCTTATTCAATATTTCCTGTTCACATTGGCATATATTTTCGTTTTTATTTAGCTGAAATAAAACATACACATGTAAACAATAAGGTTAACTGAAAGATCTGTACTTTTCTAGTATGATTAAGCTAAATTGCTTAAAATAACCAAATTAATTAAGTATAAGCAAAATTTTAATTTATTTTTTAGTAATAATTGATTTGGATTCTATATCAGTTTTTGGCCATTTGCATTAGCATCAATTTCATTCGCTATCAAAATTATAGAGGAAACATGGATTTTTGAGATCACATTAAACCTAAGACTCATCCAATGTAGCCATTTACTTGTAATCAGAAACTAACATGGTTATGACAATATATTTTTTAATTACCTATACATCATCAATAAAATACTCCCAAAGAAAATCAAAATTAGTCACTACGAAAATATCTTTAAATGTTTAGATAAATCTACTGTGCCAAATATACATGCTTTTAAGTGCCACTTTCAATTTCAATAATTCATTTATTTTCAAAATACAAAATCAGAATAGATGTATTACAAAGTATGTTATGTACCTATTGGTTTGGGAAACAACGCCTTTGTTTCAAATGGTGTAAGTTCCACTTGTCCTGAAATTGTGTAACATATCTATCAAACTGAGCATAATACAGCAATTTAAAAGAGAATGTTTAAAAGGGATCTGTATTGTGTAGAAAAAATTAGTGTTTCATTTTTCATCTTACACATTCAATATAACTTTAGGTATTAACTCATGAAGTGAGATAATTTTTATTCTTGAGTGAAATTATGCTATATGTGTTAATTTAACAAACCAAAAAATGTGGGGGAAGGTGTGGCTTTTAACTCTGGTATTAATTCCCCGCCCTCTCCTCTGACCCGAGAAAAACCCTGTATAGCCTAAAAGACAAGGAAGAGGTGGACAAAAATAAAAAATAAAAAAACTTTCTATATTAAGGCAATTGAAAAAAACCGAAAGTTAGCTAATGACTAATAAATATTAATTTTTAATATGCCATTTATACTGCTATTATAGCAGTGTTTCTTAACTGACTGACACAATAATATGTTATATTAGTATATGTTTTGTGAATACAGAAAAATGTTTATTATACAATTGTTATGTAAAAATAAAGTAACAGGAGCAGGTAAATACAATTTTATGATATATTACTTTTTAATTTTTTTTTTTTATGAATTAATTTTGACATTTGAAGTGCCTTAACAAATCAATCTCTCAGTAATGAAATCATCTGACACCCTCACACCCTTCCCAACTCTCCACACCCAACAGACATATACATTTTTTAAAAAAATGTATTGGAAATTTGTTACCTATTTTTACTTTTCTACCTGTTAGGTAAGGAAAGTATTGCAATCGGGTCAAATTTCCGACATGCGGTTTTCGACGGATCTATTCGTTTCAGAGCCCCCTGAGTCCGAAAAACACATTTTTAGCCATTAGTCTGTCTGTGCCAAGATTTTCTCAGAAACTACTGAACCGATTTGTTGCTTCTTTTTTTATTTTGTAGGGTTTTGACTACTGATGCCTGTGACAGAAATTCGGTTCCCCACGCGCAATAGTTTGCGTTCAATAAATGAAAAACATGTTTTTCTATAAACTGTAGCGCGAAAACGGCTCTAACGATTTTGATGAAACTTTCCTATAATGTTCTAATCATCGTTTTTTAAATTTTTGTATATAGACTAAATTCCTCAAAAAATTCAGGAAAAAAAGTTATATAGAAAAGAAAAATGTTGTGGTTCCTAACTCGCATATATTACATATAAGTATATATTACATGATAAAATTTATAATAAAACGTTTGAAAGGTAATTAAATTACCAACAAAACAAAAACAAATCATCGGAATCGAACCAGTATTAGCAATGATACAGCTTATTCTATTTTTTACACATTTTTTAACTTTTTTTTTTGTCCTCCCCTTCCTTGACATTAAGGCTATACAGGGTTTTCCCGGGCCAGGGAGTGTGGGCGGGGATTTAAAAGACTCCTTCAGCAACGGGACGCGAACTCGTGACTATTTTATATCATTTCATTGATATATCAGGTTGCCGGGCAACGGCGGTGCTGTGCACAGGTAAGGAAATCGAGTCAAATTTCTGACATGCGGTTTTCGATGGATCTATACGTTTCAGTGCCCCCTGAGTCCGAAAAACATTTTTAGCCTGTCGTTTGATAGGTAGTGAAATTCCCTACAAAGCTATATAAAGATCTTTCATTTTGGATAACTATTAACGAAGTTAAAGCTATTCAATTTTCAATGTAAGATTACGGTTTCATATCCTGGTGTCAGAAAGGAGTGAATGAGAGAATAAAGATGACTAAGTGAAAGTAAGAAAATCTGTTGCCCGCATCACACAATCTTCACTATTTCCTCTACTTTTAACAGAAATTATTGTTTGAAAATACTAAGCTATGGCAAAAAGTTTTTGATGAGCAATATTAGGAAGTATTGAAATTTTTACACTAATCTACCTTAAGCCGGTTTACATTGCTTTAGTTTATCAAATAAGCCATACTCAAATCTTATGTTTGATCAATTTTCAGGAAAATGTATCTAGTTCAATTCTTTTTTGTTTCTTCATGAACATATGTAAAGATATAAAAACTTTTCTGAAATAGGTAGGAAAGTCATGTGAGTGGATACACCAGATATTTTTACTTATAATTTATAATTTGAATAAGACAAATATATTGAATTCCTTGGACATGTAGCAATTTCAATTCTGATAATGGGGATCAATAACCCAAAACATTAACAATTATTAATTTTGGCAAATAAAGGAACTAATTACAGAAGACAAATTGCCATTAATTCCAAATGACAAGTAATACTCTCTCAAAAATTTGACTTAAAATAAAAAGTGACAAATGAACAATCGAGTGGCATTATATCAAAGACTATCATCTGTCATTTTTAAAAAGTTGAGTAAAAGCCAAGTTTCTGTAATATAGTTTCAATTTAAACCAATTCTAATGATTTTTTTTTTTTTTTTTTTTATGATTCAACTTGAACATTCTTAAATAAAATCATCAGAAACAATTTAAGTTGAACCTATAAAACAAAAATTGACTTTTTCTCCACTTTCTGAAAATGACAGATGTCCATCTTTGATATGAAGCCTCTCAATTAAATGATGTATAAAAAATCGCTTAATAGATATATAAGATGTATTTCATAGGAATTAATACATGCCTGTGCCTTTTGTGTGACAGCTTCAAGTATAGAAATTTTTTTCCTTTTAAGTTGAGAATTTTTCTGATTCTTCTTCTCAGAAAAGTCTATCATAGAAAAAGTTAAACAATTAATTAAACAGAATTTAAATTAAAACTACATAAGATACTTCTAGGAAAAGAGGGAGGAAGGGGATCATTGATATTTGTTGATAATATATAATCATATATCATATATTATAAAGTTGTTGATATTAGTTTTAATTTGTATGCAACTAAATATCTAGCTCAGTTTTAAAGTTTTCATGACTTTGTGCCTTTCTGTATGAGAGCATCACCAATACTCACTTTTTGATTAAAATTGTTTTCTCATTTTTAACTTTAATCGTTAAAACTTTAATTAGAAATTATCTTACAATCATTATTAAAATTGCTCTATTTACTATTAATATTTATATTATTTTTGTTTGTTCAACTTTTATAATTTTATTTATTTTTTTATATTTAATTCATTTTCAAATATTTTGATTTTCTGATTTTATATAATCAAAAGACTCATTTTTGTTATATTTCCTTATCATATCATATTTCACTTTTTAATTTATCTTTAAACATATAATTTTATTGTTTCATATTTCATACATGTAATTCTACAATATTTATTCATCTTTCCTCTTATTCTTATATCTTATTTGTATATAACCCTAGTGGAGGCTTATAATTCACTTTATGTTTTTTTATGACCTTAAGACTAATCTTGGTTATGATTGAATTTTTATTGATTTTTTTTTTATAGAATTTATGTTTTTTTTAATACATATGGTATGTAATAATTGGTCACTCAGCAATGTGCCACTATTTCTCAAGAATACTGTGAAATAGACCAGATGAAGATAAATGCAGTAAGAAAATAATCAAGACTGATTAATGCTTACTAAAATATTAAAAGTAACAACCTGAATTCTTATTGATTTCTGGGTGTCGATCTGGACTTATTGCTTCTTGATATATGGTTGTTTCATTAGTGTCAGCCTTCTTTCGTATGAATCTATTTAAATCTATAAACATAAAGATTCAATGATGTTTAAATGCATCTTGAATAATATATTTTTTTCCCAAATGACTACAAATGATATACCTACATAAACTGACTTATCATGTAAATACTGAATGATAAAGATGTATTTAAACTTGATCTTAAAAAAAATGATAGTTAAATATTTGCTCATTTCTATTTGTGTAAAGAAAAGTAAAAATAACGAATTGCATAACACCTATATTTATTGAACAGTAAGATAATTTCATGAGCTTAAGGCAGATTTAAGTAGAATTTAGTTAATAATTTCAAATCTGTAAATATTACAACTAAACCTATTTTTGGTTGTTGACATGGTAATTGGCAGCCTTAAATTATCATTGGCTATTTAAGAAAAAATTATTTACAATTCAAAACTTTCAATTAATTGTTGAAATTGTAAAGTTACTGGGCGACAATATTGTATAATATACAGTAGTGTGAAAAAGTCTTCGAACAAACCAAATTTTTATAAAAATGATAAATGTTTCAATTTAAAAGTGTTTTTATCTTCTTGATTATAGAATAATTTAATCATGCAGACATTGTAGGTGTAATATATATTTAAATTAGCATTAATTTCAATTAACTAAGAGCCTAGGGACCTACCCATTTTGTTGATAATATTTTGTCTTCTAAATAATGCTACCTAATTGTTCATATTTCACTACTTTGCCGCTTTACTCTTTATTGTTAACATCAAGAGCCATTCTACAAACTCTATAAAGCTTAGTATATCTGTAAAATTATTATTTTATGTCAGTTGAAAATATGATATTTTGCCATTTTCTGAAATAAAAGTTATATATATAATAGAGAAAAAAGAAACTTTGAAACGTGGAATGTTAAATTAAATTATCGAAAAAAAAAACAACCAAAGAATTCCAATGTTAGAACAATTTTTACAGATATACTAAGCTTTACACAGTTTGTAGAATGGCTCTTGATGGTAACAATAAAGAGTAAAGTGGATTACAAAGTAGTGAAATATGAACAATTAGGTAGCATTATTCAGAAGACAAAATATTGTCAACAAAATGATTGGATTGATACCTTGGCTCATTGTGAATTGATACTAATGCTAGTTTAAATATATATATTATACTTACAATGTCTGCATGGTTAAATTAGTTTATAATCGATAAAATAAAATCACTTTCCAATTGAAACATTTATCATTTTTATAAACATTTGGGTTGTTCAAGGAATTTTTCACACCACTGTGTATCATACTTAAACAAAGTAATTCTTAAATCATAAATAAAAAAATTATTGGATTCATAGTTTCTATTTAAGAATTATGAATAATCAATTCATTGAAGCTTATTGTTTTAATTATTCTATAAAAGAATTGTTTCGATTATAAGGACCAACAACGGCGATTTAAGAACTTTATATGAAACAAAGAGCTCAACCAGAACAAGGAAGCGGCAAAGAGGGCCACCTTGTCCAGGTTGCAGAATTTAGAGGACAGCAAATTTTGATAAATTACAGGAGTCAATATTATCTTACGATGATTTATTTTGAAATACATTACTTAAAATAGTTAATCTTCCTTAAATTCTTAATTGAAAAATATTATACATTCTGTCACATTCAAGAACACTAGTAATAGTGATAGAGTAGCTCATTCACACTATATTTACAATAAATAAAAATAAATTAAACAGTAAAGTAATAATACTAAAATTAAATGTATAAAAAACAAAAAGAAACTAAAATAATCTTTAAAAAAGAAACTAAAATACTACAATAAGAAATTGACTTTTATTCGGGAGGGACAAATGGCGGAAGGTGAAAACATTTAGATAGGACTATAAAAAAAGGATAAACAAAAACACGTTCCCTCTGATATTATCATATGCAAGTGAATCTTGGGCTCTCACTATCAAGCATAAAAGCCAATTTCAGGACTATGGAGATAGCCTATTAGAGTAAAGCATGGCCAAAAGAGACAAGAAAATATTAAGAACTCCACGATTAGGACCAATCTGGAGATAAGATCAGCAGAGGAGGTTATTAAGGAACATAGGCTCCAGTCTTCCAGGTAAGTCTCAAGAATACCTGGGAAATGTTTGCCAAGAAGTCAGGAGAAAAGGGAGACCAGGAGGAAGTCGTAGTGGGAAAGAGTTGAGGAGGGCTGTAAGAAGAGAAGGGATACTGACTGGAGGTGGAGAAGAGAACTAATTCAGAAAAATAACTACAAGTCACAGAGCAGTAGATGGAGGTTTGATATAGTATAACTATTATAATCATATTATATAAATTTTTTAATTACCTCTGATTTGCGGTAAACAGACTTCATCGTGTTGTGATTTTTGAAGTGCCAGAGCATTGCAATGTTCTCTGCTGAATTGTAATCGTCCCCGATATGGCTTTATATGAAATGATTCTGGCATCATATTGCGCTTGTATTCCATGTTTATTTTTGGCATATCAAATTCAATCTCTTTGGGTATTTCAGTTTGAAGATTTTCATCCATCTTCTCAAAACTAAATTTACTATAATATTTAATGAATTATTTTATTCATAAAGAAGGTGTAGCAGTTTATAAAAGAAAATAATAAAAAAATAAGGATTAGATGTTTATTTTACCTTCCGTTTGAATCCCCAAGCAATGAGCTACTGACTTTTTCTTGACTCAAATTTTTAAAACTCTCTTTATCTAATTCTCCTACCATCGCCTGCTTAATCTTTAATTTTCTGGCATCAGCCTAAAATAACATCATATTGTTACCAAATGTGATTTATTCTATCTACTGCCTTTTTTAAACTAAATATACTAAAAATTATAAGTTAAAAATTGAATTATTTTTATAAAAACGTAATTTTTTTAAGGATTATTAACACTTTGTTGGTTGCTTAATACAATAAGAATAAATTTCCACAACACAGATCTGTTTACAAAAACGTTTTTTTTTTACATCTCTGATAGAAATTCGGGGAAGAACTTATTTAAGAATTGCGGAACCAACGGGAATGAGATTCTTAACACATAATAAAATTTGAATTTTAAATTAGGTTCAACATTGATTTTCTTGAAGTTAATATCACTAATTTTTCTTCTTAAATAAAAGTTCCACATAATAAAAGATGTAAAAAGCGGAATGAAAAATAGAGATATAATAATAGAACTTGAAATTTATTGTTTATTACCAGCTATAAAAATTTACGGTATCAATAATTTACAAAAACAGATTTTTTTTTTTTTTACTTAACGCCTATGCCGTTGGCTGTTAGAACACACTGCCTAATAGGCTTTTGACATCCCAAAACAATTTTTCCACAATGAAATTCTCCAATTTGATGCTTCCACTACTAGTAGCTGTGCCCGTTCAATTAGGAAGATTTTTACTGATAAAATCTGACAGAGCGGGGCGCACATGGAGGAGCAGGTCGTACATCTCATCCTCCCTGCACAGAAGGCATGTATGACTCCGATAACACTAAGGCTTTCCATGACTCTGATCCTGTGCAAATGCATTTGCTATATCTGGTCATCATGCGGAAATACGCTACCTATGCTTTCTTACTTTATGATTGTTTCATCAGCGCCTCTGTTTAACATTCTCATTTTTTCCCAGCTGACTGTTGTTTTTCCAATTCCCACCCTCTTTCTTGTAAAAGGATTTTAAAATCCTTTTAGCAGATTCGTAGAGCAGCGGAGGATTGGTTAGCGACATTTCCGAGGTGATCCGTGCGAATTAGAATGTCACTCGGATTCCATTTTTAGTTAGGTCGTCAATCCGATCTCTAGCGTCTGTGACATCAGAATGATCCAGAACATTGCAGACAGCCAGTTTGGCAAGAACAAAAACAGTGATCCGGTTTTTAAAATGTTTGAAATGGTGGAGAAGATCGTAAATGCTACAGTGAAACTTGAAAATTTTGTAAAATTAATGAACCGGTATGGAAATACAATACATGTAATACCATCAAAAATTCTCTTTGATACTTCTTTAATCCTCCTAAAATAATTGAAATTGTTGCTTGTATAAGGATGAAAAAGTTCAGTCTTTCTACATATAGGTTTCTAAATTCCTTACGAATAATGGGCAGCCTTTCAGTGATGAATCCTGTATTAGTTCCAAAGACCATTCTCCTATTAATTTTGTGGGCCGGCGAGGTCCTACTATACCTAAAATGAAAAAAAAACTATATCTCCATTGCTTAAAAAATAATTCTTAAAATGAGTACTTATAAAACAAAACAGATGATAATACAAAATTTATAATGTTTTAATTTTTATAAATAAATTAATATCAATGGATAAACTGTTTTTTTTTTGTTTTGTTTTTTATAAAAATACAGCAAGTAATCATGATCCTTAAGTTTTCGCGCTGTAGTCCCCCTTCCAAAATTAAATTCTGGATCCGTTAGTGGCTTGGAGCAATCCATCTGGAAGCCTCTACGTAACAATGAATGCCTCAATAGTAAGCAAGAGACCACGTGGGGGACCAAAAACTAGATGGATATGATCGATTCAAATGTTGCAGAGTATTTAGTTAACTTAATAGCAATAACCCAAGATAGGCAAATATGTTTAAAGCGGGAAGGAGGGGATTTTAAATTCCCCCCCCCCGCCCTCAACCCCCGGCCCGGGAAAATCCCGTATAGCCTAAAAGGCGAGGTAGGGAAGAAAAAAAAAAAAAAAAATGTTTAAAGCGGGAAAAGATCTACAAGGTCTGTAAAAGCCATCAGAAAGAAAAAAAAAAGTACATTGACTACTTTTCCCTCTGAGAAATCAGAATTTTTTCACTTGGCATAACTAATTTTGATAAATAATAAAAATTGTTTCATTTGTATGCTACTTTTTTAAAACGGTAAACAAGGTCTCCCGGCTTATGGCAGATAAATTATTTATTCTTTTTCATCAGCCGTAGATCGACATTGGGGTCGGGATACTATCCTGGGACACACTCAGCCTCTATGAAGTGGCACCCTTAATTAAATAATTGATTAAGGGGAATAACCAGGTGGTTAAGCGTGATCTCGGTCTAATCACCTCCTTGCCCGGCCGTTGACCAAGAAACAGCACTTTCCCTTAATTGTACTTCACCAAAGATCCTTAATGGGTTGTGGTGGTACAGGTAAATAAAGTCTAAAGTCACATAATAATACTTAAACATACAGTTCAGCTCCATCCAAAATTTTAGAAGGCTTAAGATTTTAAAAAAATATATATGTATGTGTGTATATATATATATATATATATATATATATATTATATATATATATATATATATATATATATATATATATATATATATATATATATAATTAATAAAGAAATGGCGTATTTTGAAACTTACTAGCAAGAGCTGTCGCATCAAGCGGTGGGTAAGGTACCTCGGACACCTGTACCTTTTTTGCAGCATCCATATTTATTTTATTTTCTAAATCAGGCAGGAACCATACAAAAAATCTATCCCAAGTAAAATAGCGATGCTTCAAAATCTCGTGGCACTGAATCCTTTCTTCTGGATCCATACTATTAAAATAAAAAAACTGAATATAAATGTGTATATATATATATATATATATATATATATATATATATATATATATATATATATACACTACTTTTACATATGCAGACTAGTGCTTTTTTTTATTTTTGTGATAAAATCATCTTAAGACTCGAGTGGAATGCAAGAGGGTATTTATGAGTTTTAGCTTAATGAGAAAACACTCCTTTTCTGAGAATCTTTGTAGATAAAAAGCAGTAGATAATACTAAGACGAAACTGTCCACGAAGTTGTTAATGTTAATAATCTGATAAAAAAAAAGGAATACGTACTACGGACTATATAGTCTCTCTCTACATAGTCTATATATACTATATATAGTATACTATATATATATATATATATATATATATATATATATATATATATATATATATGTATATATATCAGTCTGTCCCTAGCCTTCAAACAGATAGCATCGGTGTAAAATTTTAAGTGGTGCTATTACAGTTCAGTTCACCGTCACTAAAATATTTAAAGTGCTCTTAATGTAAATTGCGATTGGCGATTAATATTAACTGTTGAATTAAATCATCAATACCTAATAAACACTATAAGGTAAGAAAATAATTTAAAATTGTTGTGATATAGCCGAGCGTAAGATATCTACTACCGGTATCTACTTTATTATTATTTAGTAAATCAGTTGCTCACGATGACTCTATGTCCCAAATGCAATAATACCATTGCCAGAGAGGATAAAACTACATTTGTTTGCACTACGTGCAAATTAATATATCATAAAAAATGCATTAACGTCTCTGAAGCTGACGTATCGCAGCAACTAAAAAAAAAAATTGGTTTTGTACATCGTGTACAAAATCTCAAAGTAAACAGGGCACAGCAACCGTGGATGTGTCAAAAGAGAGCAATACCTCTATTTTGGCTGAGGTTAAAAAGATCACCAGGGACATAAAGGAAGTTAAAGTCTCGCTCGGAAAGCAAAGCGATCTTGCCTTCGAAAACAATGAAAGACTTAAAAAAAATAGAAGAGATGGCATTGAAACAAGAGAAAATATTAGAAAATTTACTCAGTGAAAATAAACTGTTAAAATCTCAAATTAGTACCCTAGAGGTGAGACTTAACCAAACTGAACAAGCTCAGCTAGAGGACCCTAGGTCACCGCCAATCGTCGTGCGGTTCGTCCGCCGGACGGTGCATGAAGAAGGCATCCGCTTGCGCAAGGTCAAGAGGGACTTTTTCACGCGGCGTCTGGGCCGGGACAGCGACGAGAGGATTTATCTGGGCGAAGAAATGAGTCCAGGTAATAAACATTTATACTGGTTTGCAAGGCAAAAAAGGGCGTCAGGTGTGCTAAGATAAGTATGGTTCGCTGGAAGAAAGGTACGATACAGAAGACAAAATGAATCCCCGGTATCATCGTCAACAAAAAGGAAGACATTGAATTGCTGGAATGAAATAGGTCTCACTGTTCCCTCCAACCATTGTTTTACAAATATCTTTTATTTTCATTTCTTTTTTAACATGTTATTGTTCTTTTTTGTTTCTATAGTTCATAATCATTCATTCTATTGCTTATTAAGTATATTTTTGAAAGATGAAATTTTCTTATTTTACTTTGAATCAGATTTTATTTTTTTCTATGCTTACCCTCATTTAAAGATGTCAAGTAAGATTTATATCAATATAATGTACATAATTTGTTATTATATCTCATTATGTAAGTTTAAAAATGTGCCTACTCCATCAATATAAACACCATTTTGTCACACTCCGCAGATTGTCCTTACCCTGACCTCCTCATGACTAATACCTTAAAATCCTGTCATGTTAACTCCCAATCCCTTTTAACACATTTGAAACATTCTGCACATCATCCTTTTTCTGAAACCCAGTAAACCTTCTAATAACACAACTTCCTATAAACCAATAAGCCTACTTCCCATCCTTTCAAAAATCTTTGAAAAGATTCAACTGAAACGTATCCTACCCATTATAGAATTCCAAAATCTTCCTACCCACCAATTCGGATTTCGTTCCCAACATTCCACTGTCCAAAAAGGCCTCCAAGTTGTTGACCATATATCCTCAGCCCTAGAAAGCAAGCAATATTGCTCGGGGCATTTCTGGACATTGCGCAAGCATTTGACCGGGTATGGCACACCGGATCTCTCTTCAAGCTTAAAACCGATCTACCTCAGTCCTTATATCTGGTACTTCGATCCTATCTCTCTGACCGCTCCTTTCAAATTCGCTGTGGAACTGAATTTTCCAAGTGTTATTTAATTAAGGTGGGAGTTCCTCAAGGGAGCGTATTGGGTCCTATCCTTTATATTCTATTTACCGCTGATATTCCTACTCATCCTGAAACCCTCCTGGCAACATTCGCTGATGACAGGCCATCCTATCTTCCAATTCAGATCCCGAAACAGCATCCTTTAACCTACAAAGTCACCTCTATCTTATTGAACACTGGTGTAATAAGTGGCGCATCCAAGTAAATTAATATAAATCCAAACACACCACTTCACCCTTCGGCGCAAGTCGTATCCAGCAGTTTATTTCAACTCCATACCACTTCCCCTCTCCGACACAGTTCGGTACCTTGGCTTCCTTCCAGGCTAAAGACTAACATGGAACCCACATAACAGACTTAAAAGACAACAGCTTAACCGACGATATGGCCAACTATATAGACTACTCAATAGAAATCTTAACTTTCAGTTGAGAACAAACTATTAATCTACAAGACAATCCTGAAACCTATCTGAACCTACGGACTCGAACTGAGGGGGGCAGCAAACCTTTCTAACATCAAACGCATTCAATCCTTCCAGTCTAAAGTTCTTCGGACAATAGCCGATGCTCCCTTTTATGTAACCAATAAAACCCTACACAATGACCTTAAAATCCCATTTGTACTTGACCTAATCCCAGACAAATTTTCCAAATTCCACTAGAATCTCATCCATCATCCTAATCCTGTAGGATCACAGTCTCTATCTACCTCCAGTCATCCCTACAATCCTCCTTGGAGGTTAAAACGGCAGTGGCACCGTGACCTTTTGTAAAAATGTATATATTGGAGTACTGGCACTGGCCAGATTCTTCACTCATGTCCTGAGCGTCTGTTGCTCTAGTGCCCTCCATCAGTGTCCACTGGCTTACTATACCAGTGACGCGGCTGGGAGAGAAGCACTGGGATCTCCTGGAGTCCTGCTTTGGCTTCCACAGTTGGGAGACAAAGCTTGATTCGGAGTCCTCTGGGCCAATGTAAATATTGTACATAGGTGTGAATGTGTTTTATTTATTTTGTTATTATTCGGCTAATCTGTTATTTTATTTATCTTGTATATTACTTTATCTTTTTATATATATATATATATATATATATATATATATTTTTTTTTTTTTCTTTTTTCCTTTCTTATGTACAAATTGTGTGAATGAATACTATAGCCCTAGTACTAATGCCCTCCAGTGTGGCAGACTGTATTAATACTTAATAAAACAAAAACAAAATTTCTACCTCCAATTTTCAGGTGTTGTATTTCATTAAGATCTTATGACTGTGGTCTTATACTTTTAGACAGTCATGAAATAGCCATTCCATAATTAACATGGCAGAGTGTTTGCTGTCATTTTCTTAATAAAAACTAAATTATTGTTTTAGCCCAAGTTTTTTTTTTTTTGTAATTTCTTCTAAAAAATGTCTTTATAAACATGTTTATTCACTATACCATGTGAATGTTTTCACTATAAAGTGAAGATTACCTACACCAGGAACTGCCATACCTCCCCACACCAAGAAACAAAATATAAGAAAACAGAACACAAAACATAAATAAGAACAAGAAAAAGAACCTATTACAAGGATGTTTATTGATTACAATAAATTATTGTTTTCAATGTAATATAAATTGTACTATTTATTTATTCAATAATTTTTAATAATATGCAGGTGTATCATTTAGACTGTAAGCCACTGAATATATATATATATTCAGTGGCTTACAGTCTAAATGATACACCTGCATATTATTAAAAATTATTGAATAAATAAATACTACAATTTATATTACATTGAAAACAATAATTATGTATATATATATAGTATCTCTCTCTCTCTATATATATATATACAGTCTACATATATTTACTCGTATATATAGATGGAGAGATAGATAGAAAATAACTTTATTCTGGGACAAAGTCCTTTGAGAATAACAAAATTCCACCCACTTGATTTTTTCATGTTTTCATCTAAAAATATTTCACCCACTTGTAAAAAAAGTTGTATTTGTATACAATACATGGTATTTGTAGATAATACTTATTATTTATGGAATTGTATAACCTTTTTTACCTTTAATAATCAAAATGTGATTGTGTAAGAAAGATTAGAGAAAAAAAAATTGAAAAACAAACATTATTATTCTAAAAGAAATTAATTACATCATCGTTTAGTAGCGTGTGTTTCCTCCTTTTGCCTTCACTACTTCTTGAAGACGCCTCGGCATACTTTCCACCAGTCGGGAAATGTCCCTTTGCTGGAGGATAGCCCATTCCTCCCGAAGAGCCCTTTCAAGGTCCTGCAGTGTATCATGAAGTGTTGCACGCGCTCTTATTCGTCTTCCAAGGCTATCCCATAAATGCTCAATGGGGTTCAAATATGGAGAACGTGCTGGCCAGGCTAAAACCTCAATATTGTTCTGTTGAAGGAACGTCTGCACTATGCGGGCAACATGTGGGCGTGCATTATCGTGCATTAGAATATAACGATCGCCGATTTCGTTGAGGATAGGCAACACATGAGGTTCCGAAATCTCATCTACATAGCGAATGGCCGTTAAAGACCCTCCACGAACAACAACCAATTCTGTGCGGCGCTCCATTGAAATCCCAGCCCACACCATTAAGGAACCACGTTGGAAAGGTTGGCTCTGGGAAAAATTACAGGCTGCGTATCTTTCGTTTCTTCTTCTCCACACTCTTTCACGCCCATCTGGAGATCGAAGAGCGAATCTTGACTTATCTGTGAAAATTACAGCACTCCATTCGTCCATAGTCCAATGGCTGTGTTCTCGAGCAAAAGCCAGCCGTGTTTCTCTGTGAGTTCTGGTCAACTCTGGTCTTCTTACTGGACGAAAAGCCATTAATCCATACTTATTTAATCTTCTCCGACCGGTACGTTCAGAAATTTGCACACCTCGAACTTCTTCGAGCTGATGAGTCGCCTTAACAACGGTAAGGTGCCGGTTTCGTAAAATTCCCAAAGTCAAAAACCGGTCATCCCGTGGTTTTGTTACCCTAGGCCGTCCAGAACCGGGCCTGTATTGTAAGAACCAGTTTCCCGAAAACGCCTGACGGCGTCTCGTAAAGTTTCATATGGAACTCCGATGGTATTAGCTGCATATCTAATGGAACGTCCATTATCAATAAGTGCCACACCACGCGCAACATCCTCAGCACTAAGAGGCATTTTTAAACTTAATATTGAAATTATTAAAAGCCGGAGACTAAGAAATGTGCTGCAAGAAACGGCACTGAACTAATGATACTGAATAAACATTTTGATTCCATAGAAAGTAAACATTGGAAACTAGAATCATTTCATTGAATTAAGGATTAAGGGTTATTGTCCTCTATATTAACATTCCTAATTGAATACAAACAAAAAGATTACCTATTTGTACATTAAAAACAATAGACCAATCGAAAGCAGAAATATTTTTAGGTGAAAACATGAAAAAATCAAGTGGGTGGAATTTTTTGCCTGTAAGTGTATATATCCACAGAACCTACTATATTTTATCAGATTATAAACATTGTCTAAAACTTCGTGGACGACTTCATCTTATCTACAACTTTTTTTATCTAACGAAAATTCTCAGAAAAGGGATGTTTTATAATTAAGTTAGTTAACTTAATGAGATACTAAAAACTAATTAGAGAGAGAATTTTCGTAATAAAAATGTTGTAGATTACGATACGGACGAAGTTCTAGACAGATGTTAATTTGATAAAAACGGGTCTTTACCACGGACTAATACGAAATAAATATATAACAACATAAAACAATATTTTCGTTTAACAAAAATTAATAACAAATAAATGGTGCCTATTTACGGAAACGACTGAAAAAGATTTAAAATTAAAATAATTCGCACCATCCTTAGCCGTTTGATATTATTAAAAGAAAATAATATCAACTTGGACATAGGCGCCTATTAAATCAAGAAACGCTCCAAGAAAATTAAATCCAAATAATAAACTAATTCAAATAATAATGAATGTAGAATTTTAATAAATTTCAAAAGAAATTTTCAATAATTGAATCTTATGAATATTTATGCGTTCCCTAACAATAACAAAGTAATACAAGCTCAGTGCAATACCTCAAGCATGCAGAAACTAAATCCAAAGTTTTTTTGTCTATGGTAGGATATTTTGATTGTAGATTGAAAACTATATCGTCTAGGTTTCTCCCTCTTATATTTTCGATCAGTTCAATAGTTTCACAAGATTCATTCGAACCTTTCATTTCTTCAGTCATTTTGCACATCAATGTATGCTGGTTAGAACTCAAACCTCCTGAGGGCAAATTATGTAAAACATCACATACAAGAAGTATCGAGATCCAGAAAAAGAAAAAGTAAATGTAATCAAATATATAGATCAATAAAAACCTTACCCATCAAGCTCGTTATTTGATACAGTTGATCAATGTCAGAATAACCGGCAAAAAGAGGTGTAGCAGTCAACATTTCGATTATTAAGCAACCTAGAGCCCATATATCCACACCCCTATAACATATTCCAATATAGCATTCCTTTTGTTAATTATTAAATAATAATTTAATTTCATATTAAATATAAATTTTAATCTCAATAATGAAAATATCAAGGATCTGAGAATTCAAGATAATGATAGTATGATATATTTAAATAAAATATAAAAAAGTATCATGAAAATACCAGGAATTACAGGCGTTGATGTATGTATGTATATTTATTTATATATAAATTTATATTGTATTTGAGAAATATATATATTTCTGTGGCACCTGTGCGTAGTGTGTTAATAAGTGCAATTTTATGAATTTTTATGGTATTTTCAGAAAGCTAACTTTTCTCTACATTATTGTTTTTAATGTGCTAAGTTATGGTTCAATTACATAAATGTAAAGTTCTTTGTATTAATTTTATCAATATGACTATAATGAAAAAAGAGAAACGAGAACAGACAATAATACTCGATCCATCTCGTCGTTGTTGCTCGTAATTATTAGCAAGAATTGCATAAATGCAACTTTTGTGTGATATCCCACCATTACCGTCGAGCCTTGAGGCAAGATAGGGAGAACTAAATAAGTTATTTCATTCTATGGATATTGTGGGGAAAATTTAAATTAATAAAAACTTATGTCCTGTTTATTTATAAATTATATTCTAATACTTGAATTTTTTTTATCTCTCTGAATTTGCCTAAGGTTTGGATTGCTATCACAGTCTAATTTTTTTGCTTAAAAGTTGCTTTATTATTGTTTTGGTAGTTTAGTTATTAGGTAATTTACCTGCCATAATTAATATCTCCAACCAAAAGTTCCGGAGCTCTGTACCACCTTGTGGCTACATAATCTGTTAACGGTTCCGAGCTCAGGCTGGCAAACCTTGCAAATCCAAAATCACACAGTTTCACAATCCCTGTTTCAGAAATTAGTACGTTTTCTGGTTTTATGTCACGATGAATGATCTAAAACATAAGAGACACTTTTGGGTCATTTGCATTACATTTGGTTTATGGAATATATTCATCTAAAGATTTTGGTTACTATTCAATTTTATCAATTTAACATGAATATAACTCCCGAACCTATCTGCGGCATTGAAGTATGTCTTATAAATAATAGAATTGGGGAGATATATAGTGTTGAAGCCAAAAAAAAAAAATACTAGTGCTTGAAAAAACAGACACATTCAAGATTGTTCCTGGATGGAATCTTTCCAAAAAGAAGCAACCTACTAATTTGCTTGAGAAAGAGCTCTTTTAATAAAATGACAGGATGTGTACTGGGCACTGTAAACTGAATTATCATACGTTTAATCTCCTGCTAAGGGAATCATCTAAAGGGATGCAAAGGTAGGTTCTGTGGTTAGGAGGACGAACAAGCTTATTAGATCACCTTCTGAAGCGACAGGTTTGCTGAATTAAGATTGCGATTATTCAACAATCATAGGATGACTGATCTCACAAAAAACATGCTTGTCAATCCAACAAGTCTACTTTAGAGACTACAGGAATAAGAGTAATTAGGGTAAGAGTGACATTAATAAAGGCATACAGTATGCCACGAAAAGAAAAAAAAAAGAAGGTATTTACATATGTTATTATTCTATACCATGCTTATAGCAGCCTCTGATGATTGTAAGGAATATAAGAAGATTTTATATCCTGTTATAGATTGGCGATGAAAAATGATTTTATAACATTTAATAAAAACGTGAATATCGCAACCCTTCGCATGTTAAAAATTTTATATCTAAAAATTACCAGAACCTTAAACCTCCACGGATACAGAGCAGTTATATTTATTATGATGTTAATAAATGTGTTGTTTACTACTGTTATTTTTTTATTATTATTTTTTTTTTTTTTGTCTTTTTGTTCTGTTATTACTATTATTTTTTCTTTATGCTATCATTTTTTCTCCTTGATATCATATTTGCTGAATACCGAGGTAGATGGCAAATTTATTGTGAGCCAGGATGTATATGTATAACTAATAAATAAATAAATAAATCGTTAATCAAATAAAATATTTCAAATATCTAAATAAAACTGCACTGATAATATCATTAATGGGTTGATTATTCAAAATAAAAGTTATATAAATTAATAAAGTAGCCGAGCTTACGTTATGGATATGACAATATTCCACACCCTTCACGAGTTGATAAAAGTATCTTCGGACCAACTCCGAAGGCAGCGGACCATCATCTTCAAGTTTCTCTAAGAGGTTGGCAGGCATGTACTCGAAAACCAAGTGGAACCTCCTCTTTCTGCGAAATACTTCCAACAAACATACCAAATGCGGGTGATGCAGTTTCTGTAACATAATACTGGATATTTAAATCAATCTAACAATAACTGAAGCAATTGAAAGCATGAAACAACAAGTGTACAATTTCCAAAATTTCTTAAGTAATTAAAAGTCATTTATTTTTAATAAAATATTACGTTCTAATTAGGTGCACATGATGAAAGATCGCCATCTTGTTATGAATTCGGCTCGGCAATACGAGTCCTACAAGATGGTTCAGGAAACGATAAAGAAGAAGATCGCCACCTAGATCTTGGTTTAAAATCTCAACATTTTAGATCTCCCTATATTAAAAAAATATAATCATCAGGAAACTATTGATAGACTTATTTGAATAGTAACAATACAATCTGCCAAAATCAAGGGCATTTGGTATTATAGCTCTATGCCTACATTTATTCTTATATACAAATTAAAATACAAGCTAAGAAGAAAATAAAATAAGAATAAAACATAAGTAAAAATATGAACATTGAATTAAATAGAAAAAAGGTTGTAAAAATGAAAAAAATACACTATAAAAATAATAAAATAAATAAATAAATAAAAAGAAAATAAAATACAGAAAAATTACTTGTCACACATTCATTCCTATTTACATTCTCATGTGAAAGGCAAAGCAGGGCTCAAAGAGATCCCTGCGCTTCTCTCACAGTCGCATCACCGTTTGAAGGTCAGTGGAGACTGAGTGAGAGCGCTAAGGCCACTTACACTCAGGATTTAAACAAAAATATAATAAAAATCTAAATTATATTAAATTACTACAGCATATAATATACATCTTTCGTTATTTCGGCAACCACCGAGAGTTAATTGTCAATTTTCTAGTGAACAAAACGAACATTTACCTGTTAGCAAACCCCAGTAACCATAAACATAAAGTGACACTTGATGAAAATTATAAAATAATATAAAAACGATGGTGTTCACACTAATGTAACATTTTTTTTTAAACATTTTTAAAAAGTTTGGATAGATATATACAGCTATCCATGAACTTACATTAATACATAATGGTACTCGCTCTAGACCTATTTCTTTTGAGTTCTCTAACTTACAAGGTGAGTTAATAAAAATGGTGAGATATAAATTTTAAAAAAATACAAAACGTCTTAAAATAATTAATTTTAGCTTATCAATAAAGCCACTATGATAGAGATATATTGAATGAAAAATTCAAATATTACTTACTATAAAATTATTGCATAAGAAATAAATTTTATTTTATTAGGAGGAGGGGAGTGACGTTATTGCCAGAGGGGCGCCAAATGTCTAAGGCCGGCACTGACTAAGACTTACTATTACTAAAACCTTATTATAGATTAATAATAAGGTTATTACCATAACCTTACTTTTTTCCTTTCGTATGATACCTCATTCATCAAGAGATCGAAAGTCATACATTTTTTAAATAAGTTTGGTTTTAAAAGTATTTATTAAACTTATAAAGAAAAAGTTCGTGCAATAAAAGTTATTCTTATACCTTTATGATAAAACGTTTTCTTAAAAAAAGTTCAATGTTCACCCAAACTTTTTGAAATACTGACACTAAAGTGCGAGTTTAACGAAAAGCTTTTATGCTCTTGCTTCAGATTATAAAAGTTGTTATGATCGGAAATGAGTGAGAGAATATTTCCACACACTGTTGTTTATCGTATGATAGGATTAATCATATGGATATTGTTCCTATCCTATCATTTCATCATTTTCAAAACAAAACAAGTACAGTCATTATTACCTCTTTTACTTATTTTGGGCTGTTTCTTGTGAGTCGGTTTGGTGTGAATTATGATGTTATGCATCATACAGAAGACATTCGTTGGGAGTTTTTTTTTTTTTCAAATACGTTGTATCAGCCGATCACAATATATTTACAAAATATTAAAAACTGTAAAATACAACTATGAATTTTCAATTTTTGCATTTCTGAAATTACTTTTATTTTTTTGTATAATATAGGGGGCTGGGGCAGCCATACGGGCTAAGGCGCTTGCAATAGGTAATCAAAGCACTTGGATGGGTGACCGCCCACACCAAGGAAAGCCACGCTGGGCGAGATTCCTCCTCCCCAATCGGGTATGTGAGCCCCGTCAGTCTACTGGAGGCAACTCACACCGATCGGGCGTATGGTTGATGATCCTACCCCGTACTTTAAATTGGGAATCGAGATGTGGCCTAGGATACCACACCAGCGGTCAAAGATCTTCATGGTCTATAGTGCCAATCGAAAAAAAAAATAATAAAACGTATAATATCTATAAAACATATATTTCTGAAATTCATTTTTCTTTTACCTAAAACCTTTTATGAATAAGTTTCAGAATAATTGTAGTGAACTTTTATTAAAGAAGTTATCTGGATAAAAGTAAAACATAATTTAATCAAAAAGTTATAACGAAAAAGTTCAAATAAAATAAAAACTTATATCTATAAAACATATATTTCTGAAATTAATTTTTTTTTTTTACCTAAAACCTTTTATGAATAAGTTTCAGAATAATTGTAGTGAACTTTTATTAAAGAAGTTATCCGGATAAAAGTTTAAAAATAATTTAATTAAAAGTTACCATAACGAAAAAGTTCAAATAAAATCAATACTTATATCTATAAAACATATATTTCTGAAATTAATTTTTTTTACCTATAATCTTTTATGAATAAGTTTCAGAATAATTGTAGTGAACTTTTATTAAAGAAGTTATCCGGATAAAAGTTTTAAAATAATTTAATGTAAAAGTTATCATAATGAAAAAGTTCATATAAAATAAAAACTTCATTTAAGATAAAAAAAAAAAAGGGATGAGCTTAACTTAAACTTTTAAAAAATAAATTTTAACTCATATTTTGAACCTCAAATCAAAATCCATCGTTCCAAAGAACGATTAAAGAGAAATATATGGATAATATTACAGTATCATGTATGAAGTGCAGCAATTTACGTATTAGTGTGTAAATAACTATTATTAGTGATAAAATACTAATAAATACTATAGATAATTACTATAAGTAAAATAGTATTAGTGAGTAAAGAGTTCACTCATTCCTCTGTACAGAAGATATAATAAATAAAATAAAATAAATAACAAACTAATAATCAAATAAACTTTATGAATAAATAAAGTAAAATAACATCTCAAACACAGGATTATGTTGGTATATCTAAGAATATCAGCCATATTTCAAAGTTAATAGAAAGGGAACAATTATTTATAAAATATTGTCTGGAGGATAGGGTTAAGGACACGAAGACAGTAAGGTTGACACGCGGCCTGGGATTTATTAAGAGCTTGTGGATCGCGTGGGCTCCACCCGGGCTGATCCATTATGGTACATAGGCTATACCAACAACTCACACAAAATAACTCCCTTCCGATCAATAAGGCAGTTGGGGAATTTTAGTCGTTACATGGTCATGTATGTATGTATAGACTCCGTGATAGACTCAAAAGACTTATGAATAGCTTCGTAAGATTTGTAATTGGGACCCCGAGACACTCCCATCACTACACTGAGTTAGGGTGGCTCTTCCCCTCCTTAAGAAGACAATATTTCCTAGGCACTTTCCTTTATCAAATCATTACCGATCATCGCCCTTCTTATGCCTACAACCTTCTCCAATTTAAGTCCTCAATCCATTCCCTCACTACAAGATCCCGACCCTCTGACCTATACATCCCTTCTCATAGATCTGCCTCATTCCAAAATTCCTTTATAGCTCGCTCTGTCAACTTTTGGAATTCCCTCCCGATCAAAATTCGACATGCCCCTTCCCTATACACATTCAAAAACCTCCTATTCCAATTCCTGTTGCAAAAACAGTTAGATACCAGCTAACTATTAATATTATATATGTATTGTGTAGCAATCATATTATCATAATACTTGATACTAGAGATAGTACATGCATTTCCTACTATCGACGTATGAATTTCAATACATACATTTTTTTTTTATTCAATTATAATTAACTGTTTATTTATATATATATATATTCAAGTAAAGTTTTTTTATTTTATTTTATAAATGAACTCACTGTATCTCTTTTTCGGTCTTCATTTCTCAAAGTGTATGTTTATGTTGTTCAACCCTTATATATAATTTTGTTCATAGTTCAAGTGATTAGTTCATAGTTTTAATTGTTTTGTTCATAATTTTAAATGATCTGTACATAGTTTTATCTGTGTTGTATATAGCTTGTGCACCTAAGGTTTTCTTTACTTTTTATTTTATTTTATCAATTTTATTTATTGTTTCAAACGTACAGACAAGTAATATTTTATTATTTTGTACATTATTATCATTCTGAAGGGACTTAGTCCCAGAATAAAGTTTTTTTTCTATCTATCTATGTAAAATGGTTCGATGCCTGGGAATGACTTCAGTGTGATGGAACAGACGGTTGTTTGCAAGAATAAGATCTTTACCTAAAATTAGAACAGCACGAAACTCAGCATAGATTGCTGTCCAACAGGACTGGATTTGGCTTCTACTTTAAGCCCACCAGTGAATTTATGAAGTGGATTAAAAAAGCTCAGAAACTAAAACTCGGACCTGCATATTGTAAGAAAGTGTTTTGAACCGAAGTTATTTCAAAACTATAACTGGATCTCACGGAATTATTGAGCCATTAAATGTATAAATCGGCCAAGCAGTTCACTCAAAAAATCGTTAAATACCTTTTAGCAAATCGATTTAACACATTTCATTCAATTATAGATCAGTGTTTTTAGCTCCAATACTTTTAAAATTATTTGTAAGTATTATGACCTGGGACTTGCAACAATGCTTCATGAGCATATCCTGCTTCAAAGTGTAGATAGTCCCAGTGTGCACCTTCAGTAGCAATCGAAAATAAAGTGGTTTTCATCATAATATACCTACATCGTCCACTTAATATCATCCAAACTGCAATTGACCCCCTTTTAGCAGCATCTTGAAATATTCTGTTCATCTGTCTACTATAGATTCATTTAGCTATATAATGGATACTGGTCCTTTTTATCTTTTCCGAGGTTTTGGCACTTCCTTTCTCGTTCGCTTAATGCATTTTTCCAATTTTCTGGTTCAATTTCGCGTTTTTCCTCATTTTGAGACCAAAAACAAACAATCAGTTCTGGTTTAAAGAAGAACTTAAATGAAGAACTTAACTTAGCGTCAACCTTTCTATCTTTCTTTGTGCAGAGAGAATAATTCATTCAATATTAAAATTTCCTATTTATTTATGATATAGTCCAACTTCCGCACAAAATAAAAGAAATAAAAAGTAATTTTTTAATTAGTGATATATGAGTTTTACTAAACAACCCGCCAGCTATTCATTATATATAGCTCAGATTAGGTATATATTATTTTAGTTTATAAATCAGGTATTAATATAGTATATAAAATTTTTAATTACCTCTAAGATTCAGTAAATATACCAAACTCAGTGTTAAATTGCAAACGTTAAATAAAAAAAAAATCAAGATATTTAGCAAAGTATTTTTTAATTAAGTTTTATTATTATAATTATATCATTTTTACAATTGAGGTCTTCTTAAACGACCTACGTATAGAATAAAGGAGGTTAAATTTAAAAAATAATAATAATAATTTTTTTTTTAATTTTAATTTTTTTTTTACAGTTAAATTATTGCATTAATATTTGTTCGTTAATAAAACCAATATAATGTACCAAAAATGTTATTATATCACTGTAACTAAGCCATTTATGTGTACTGAATGGTGTGGTAGAGGCCAGTAGGCACCCACGCCAGTACCGCTTTTCTGCCGCATAAGTGTATTTTCTACGGAACTGCTTCAAATATTTTAAAAAGTAATCAGCGTTTTAGAAAGAGAATTATATTCTCCAGATGGTTTATTTCAACACGTTTTGCGTTATTGTAGACCGTGTAATTACAAACGACGCTTGATTTGTAACTTGAAAATTTTTTTGTTAAACAAGTTGACTTTACTGGAGTTTTTCATAGCCTAAGCCAATTATTTTTTTATATTTCTTCATGTTTTATTATTCTATGACTGTTCAGCTTTAATAAAAGACCAACTATGAGGAAATTAAGCCAAATGCTGATTCTCAGTGACCAAAAAACTAACTAAAGTCAAAGTTGTCAATCCGCCATCTTTGGACGCCATTTTGGGGCCGTGGGTTCACTTTTTGTTGTGGGAACATTGGCTTTTTTTTAATAAATTGTTACAAGGAACACAACTATATGCAATTTATAGGGATGTGGGGGGGGGAGGGGGGTGCACAGTAAGGGGGTCTGGCCCACAGACTACCTCTACTAAAAACAGGACGACTTAATGAAACGGTAGTTGTGTAATGCGGGTACTGTAGGTACTAAACGCCGTTCTCCGTCAGTCATGGGTCTGAACAACTGATTAAAACCAGGTTTTTCAACGCCTTTAGGATAGTTTATAATATTAAACTTATTCTTAAAATAATCTAACACTCATATCATTGCATGTATAAAATAGTAATGAGGATTAAAAATTGTAGAACATTATATTCCATTGAAAAATGAAAAGAACAACTATTGACCTATAACGGTAACCGAGATATTTTGAATTTATCGATAAAAAAAATTAATTATTATTATTTATAATAACCAATTAGCTACTTTAATAATCGTATCAGGATAATTCATAAAATTAGAAAAGAGAAAAATATTTTTTCTAATAATAATAATTATAATTTTGTTGTAAGTCAAATTCTAATCCAAACAAAAATGTGTTTTCTTAAGCAACACTGCTTACGATTTTTTTTCTATAAATTAATGTATCGAAAAAAATCTTCGTTAATTTATTTTATTTTTTACGTTGTTTAGACACTCATAAAGCAACTTGCGGTTTAAGCCCATCGCCGGACAGTGATCTAGTTCCATCCCTACCTATTGGCTTATTACATATTTTACGCGATCTATACAGCGAGCAAAAAAAAAATAAAATAAAAAAACGCTGCAAATTATTTCACAATGGTTTATTATTTCCAAACAATTATACATCTAAAGTAACATTACCTTCTTAGTGACAAAGAAAGAGAAATAAAAAGTGATGCCAATTATTGGACTAAACTTTTTTTTTTTAATCATTAGTATGCTAAAAAAAATATCATTACTTCAGTAACACGTTCAAAAATCAAAAACCAAAACAAAGGATATAACCTTTGCAATAGAACATATAAAAACATCTAGAGACCGTATCTTTGCTCCTAATTGTCCGGTTTTAACGATTTGTTTTTTTATTTTTAAGGAAATTCCGTGAACTTTTAAATAACCATATACAATATCAAAAAAATATACTTTTTGAGTTATTCGGAATCTAATTTCACCATCCCTCGTAACTTTTTTCCCAGCTTCTTTTCATTGAAGAATGTTATATAGATAACATCGAGAAGAAGACTTTAGCGAAGTTTCATTGGAATCGGTTTAGGCGCTACAGTCGATAGCAACGCAGGTTTTTCGGTCGCCATCTTGAAAGGAAAAGGCGGATAGAAATGTCGATGAAGGAGGAACATCCTCGGGTGACCTCTAATTTTAAATCCAAATTTGAAAAAAAAATCAGTCCAGCAGTAGGAGAAAATGCGCGCACGGCGGACAGACAAAAAAATTTGTATTCGTTTTTTGAATTCTACATATGAAACGTAAAACCGCAAATTTTGACAGGGGGTTAAGTTATGTAATTTTTTGTTCTATCACAATGGTTCATCATAGAAAATAATGAACCAAAATATGACAGATCACGTCTTCATGTCATTGGTTTTCATTGAACCTATACGAGAAAAGTACGGGTTACCTTATCGTTTATTAACTGACTTGCAGTAAATCTCAACTTCCGCTGAACTAAGTACCAGGAATCAAAGGTCAGATTAAATGAAATTACTAAAAAAGAAATTAATATTAATTATTTGCTTATTATATATTTTTTAGATGTGAGCAGTGAAGTATTTCAAGGTTGTGTCGTTACCTTTAGCATTCGAATCTCCCTAAAGGCTATCTTCCTCGCGGTGATGTCTTCTTCTGTCTCGATGAACCTCTTGATGGCCACAAATGAGCCACTGTCGTTGTGGCGGCATTTCAGCACCTTCCCGTAGGCGCCCTCCCCAATCACGCTTAGAATGCTATACTTCTCCATAACAGCAATTCATCTGAAATAGGATCAAAGAATTAATTTGTCATTAGCGAAGTATCTATTTGAGGTTGAACAGGAGGACTTTTTGATCATTAGCAGATAGCTAAATCTTCAATTTATAAGAGATGGTAGCAGTTTAGAGACCATATTCATAAAGATATTTTAAAATGTTACTAAACCATTGAATAGAAAAGGGGACACGGGTTCTATTATATGAGCCGTATATTTTGAAAGTGGCCTAAGTCCATTTATCAATTATTTTCGGTTGACCGTGGTTACATTTACAACTTCAAGTCATCTATCAAGAAAAAATTTCAGGTTATTTATATTCTGAGTAAATACGATAATTTTGGACACATAAGTTCATTTATACTTAATTATTATTGACAATTTCCGAAGATAGTGATGAAGGTAATTTTATTTAATTAGTATTTAACGACTTTAACTAAGGTTTAGGACAATTGCTATAGTTAATTAATCAGTACGTTTAATTAATGCAGTTTAAAATAAAATACGCAATATACATAGTAACTATTAAAATTTAACTGTGAGTATATATGTTGCGTAGATTTAATATTTTCGTATATTATAATAAAATATATAATAAAAAACAATGAAATTAATATTACATTTTAGAAATTATTTCACGCATGGGGTTGAACAAAACGTTTAGAACGTTTTTTAGGCAGTGAAGAAGGACTAGTAACTGGTGATTTAAAGAAAATAAAAAAAAGAAAGAGAATTATAGAACAATATTGATCGTCAGGGGATGATAATGGAGAAAAGTTTGATGACATATTTTTCCAAAATTCAAGTACATATTGCACTTAACGGAAAATCATGATTTCTTCTAATCTCTTTCACACACAGAAAATGTAGATGACCACTAAATAATTTTGCAGTTTCTGTAGTTAAAAACTGCTTTGAATCGCATAAATTATGTTTTTTAAGTGTTGTAGAAATATATAAAATAAATTGAGTATTTTTTTTTTTCAATTTGAAGCATCTTAAGTTATGTTGAATGGGGCTTCTTCAAATTTTATAACGAATCTTCTTGTTAATTTTGAAAGTGGCCTAACTCCATTCGTAGTAAGGCATATTATTCACTTAATAATTTCCATTATTTTAATAAAAACTATAAATTTTTACTCCTTTAGATACACTTAAGCGGTGTGACTCATTAGTATCAAGTACGTATATTTTTAATTTTATTGAAACTTCAACCCTTAAATATCTTAATTTAAGTATAAATGGACTTAGGCCACTTTCAAAATAAATTGCTCATATATACCAAAGTCGTACTAATATAGAGGGAGAGAGAGAGAGTGAGAGGGAAGGGAAAGGAGAGAAGAGACCACTTGTTGCTTTAAAAAAAAAAAAAAAAAAAAAAAAAGAACTAATGGCTCTGAGATTCTATTTCCTCCAAGCAGTGAATCCTGTAACTAAGTTTAATCCGAAAATACTTAAACTTTGAGATCATGGCGATTGTTTTGGAGTGTAACGTAGAAATCCTCTAGCCTACCCTAAACTTCAATATTAATTTAACACGTATATTAAGTTAGGACTAGATTAAATACAAGGAAGTTAAGATGAGTGGGAGCTCGGAGAACTCCATCAGGGAGCCTCTATATAAAAGAACTGCATGCATTTAACTGGAAAGAAATAGTCTAAGAAAGCAAGAGATGGCTGCTTAAGATCTACTACAACCCATGAAGGGCCGTGTGTTCAGTATTTTGTAAGGAAATACTGTTTAAAGGCTATCGATCGTGCAGGAAGGTGATCGGAGGAGGATCACGCTCAGCTGCCAGGTTTTCACCCTTAATTAATTATTTAATTAAGAGTACCCAGTTTACTGAAGCTGGGCGTGTCCTTGGAGGGTGGATCGACAGCTGATAGAAAATTTAAGTCAACATAAAAAATTCTGTAATGCCAACAGAAAAAAAAAATGAAAGTATTAAAATAAAAATAAATAAATAATTATATAGATTATTATAAATAAGTTTATATAGACAAATTATTATTTTTGATAAGTACATTATTATATGATAAATTCATTATTTGATAGTTTATTAAACCAATATATTAATTGATTCCTTCAGGTATGTAATTTAATTTTAAATGTACAAAATTGTAATAGAACTTCAGTACTTCAGATTTGTTTTTTCTATAGATTAAAAGAAAGTTCGATGTTTTGTTAAAGGTATAGAGATAAATAATCTTTTTTTTTTAATTAACAATATTTTAGTGAAAAAATTAAGCTTTGCTATAGGTAGTGACCTTTTAGTTTGAATAATTTAATTATGTTATTAGTTGAAAATAGTCAACTCTTAAAAAAAAATAGTTTAATTAAAATTGTTTACATTGTTTGAACGTGGATCAGTTAAAAGATGGATTACTGTACTATAATCCACAGATCTTTCATCTCGTTCCAGCTGTTCCTTGGCAGATTAGTTCATGCTGGTCTCTTGAAGTTTTGAGTGCGGACTTTGTGTTTACGAGATTTTTTTTCTGAATTTTTTCTTGAAAGCTTGTTTACGAGTAGTTTATGAAGTATTCTTTTTTTTTATTTATGTGTTGTTAGTAATAAGAAAAAAGGATTTTAAGAACCACCGATTCGAGTAATATAACCTCTCTTAATTGTAATCGTTGAATTGATAAAATGAAATTTAAATAATCAAAATTTAATACGTAATATTGCTTTGAATTTATAATTTTTTAGATTAATTTGACTAAATGTCCCGCCTTCCTACAGTCTAAGATTGTTATTTTCTGATAGATTTAATGCTTATGATGTCAATTTATAAATATCTTTACCGTATTGTGCCATATTTGGTTTCTTTAGCGCAGGAGTGTACAGAAGGGCGTATCATGGCGCAAGTTGCGCTATCTAAATTTTTGAGGGGGACATATTTTGACGGGGTATTAAATATTTGAAGGGAACACATTTCGGTGGGGTCATGAATTTTTGGAATGGAACGTTTCAAACCAAGGACAAGAAGAAAGCTCGGAACAGATCGCAGCAAGCGAAATTGTATATCATCTAAGATCTTTTACATTTCATTTTTGTTTGTATTGTTATTGGAAAGTGGACGGAAAATGTTCATGCGCCATAGACTTTGGGGGGGAGGGGGGAACACACCTGCTTTACCGTATAGTAATTTATAAATGGAGCTTATGCTTTTGCTTGAAGTTTATAAAATTCCGTCTATCATTTCTTTATTTAAATAGAATTATTATTATGGATGTGGATTTTCTCTTTTGACGGAAATGATTATCTATCCAAAGTATTAATAATTATCCATCATCTTATTCATACAATTTCAATTTCATTTTTTTAACACAGTGAAGAATTGAATAGCGACCCATTTTTTTTTTCGACATTATTATTATTATTTGCATATTAAAATCATTCTTCACTACAATAAATTTATGATAATGTAATTGTCATTTTCGCTAAAAAATAATCAGTAAAAAAATAACAAATAATTATAATAATAGATAATAAATAATGATGAATATGATGAATTAATTGTCAGACAAATTATTTATTTTTGGTTTCTAGATTGGGTTGAAAATAAATGACCGAAAATGTTTTCGGGAATGGAGTACATCAAATAATAAAATTTTATATAATATTTTAATTATATTGGAAAACACGAGATCTTGCCAACAAACAGGATTTATTTGTGATGATTGAAAACATTAAAATTAAATCTTTACTCATATATTTATTAAAAACGACTTCATTGCTATGAAATATGTATTTAAAGCAATATATCCACTTTGCGTACAATGAAATCAGTTTTAAATATTAATAAATATTCCTAACTTCCTTTTTCCCCTAGCGGTCAGTAACCTTATCGATTTATTCAGATTACACCGGACATCGTCCAGACTAGCTTTGGTGGACATAGGAGAATGTTTTAGAAAGCTAATAAAGTAATATTTATAAAAGATAATAAATACTTTTACAATTCGATATTTTTAACGTTTGCACTAAATTTTATTATACTTTTTTTTAAATTACAGTCCTCACACTTTCGATAAATTTATTTATTTTGACGTTTCGGATTTATTTTTTTCCATTTTCAAATACATATCTTATGTTTTCATTAATTTATGAATTTTAACATTCTTAAGAATCATATTAGCACTTCTTGCTTTGCTGTAATCGTCACTTTTTTTTTAATAAACAAAGGAAAAATGCATAATTTATCTTTTAAATTTCGTTAGGCATGACTACACCACTATCCTAATTTGACAGAACATTCGGCTGATTGCAACCGAGATGGTAAACGTTAGTCCATCTTTAACTAATTCATATGCACCTGATCCGGTTGTCTCCAAGGATTCCAAACATTTACATTCGACAAGAGGCGTTTAAGCATTCTCGAGATGGAGCCGTGTTGATTATAAATTCGCTGAACATCCAATCATAATTTATCTTTAAATATTATGAAACAACCAGCAGCTGAAATATAGTTTCAGGCCAAGTCAACTCGAAAAAATGAATCGATGAGAAGAATGGTTCGGGTGGTTAATTAAATATAAAATAGTAAAAATAAATATGTATATTTATTTTTATGTTTGCCGTCATTTCGGCCCAAAGTTCAAGCCTTCATAAAATCATTGAATTATAAAATATAAAATTAGTATGTAGGCGAAATTTTGTGTATATTGATCCATTTGCTCATTCAAATTATTTTAACTGCTCAGCATTTTTTTACCATTGACAGTCTCTTTTTTGTTTTAAAACTTTATTTGAAAAGAAGCTTTCGGTGTCCATGTGCCATATTCAGCTCTATAATTATAATACTCCAATTAGTATAAAGTAACAGTTAACTAATAACGTTAACAATATATGTATTGCATAATTATATGAACCACTTGAATGCAAAAAAGAAAACGGACATGAAATATATTTCGAAAATATTAAAATACTTTATAAATCAAACCACCGCTCAAAGCTAAAAATTTTAGAATCCATTTATTAAATTAAACGCTTAAATTAAAAAA